AGGTTTATTCTCTATAAGTAAAATTTTCTCTTTTATAAGAAGCTTTACCTTAGTAAGCTTATTATCCTTATAGTTAGAGAAATTAACGCTAGTTAAGCTAATTATATTATCTATTTATATTTTAATTATTATAAAGTTAAGGTTTTTTATAGATAAAAAGAGTAAGCATAGGTTATATAAAGTAGTAACTATATTAAGCTTTTTATAGTAGTAGTAGTTATAGGTTACCTACTAATAAGTACTTACTTTAGTAAGGCTATATAATAGCTTTACTACCTTTATAATAGTGCCTTAAGGGTAGTAATTATAGATTTAAAGGGGAAGTTATATATAGATAGTATAGTTAAGTTATAAAGTTAACTATATATAGGCCTATGTTATATCTTATAGCTATATTACCTTACTATTAGCTATAAGGGAAAAGGTAAGTATAAGAATTATATACTAGCTAGCTTTCTAAATTATAGGTAACTAAACTAGTAAGGTTTCTTTACTATTATTACTATAACCTTATACTATAAGTTATAATTTCTTATATAGCTTATTATTCTTACCTTTAACTTTATTAATAAGGTAAAATTTAAAGATATAGCCTTAGTAAATAGAAAGATTATATATAATAATCTTAAATACACTATAGTTAATAAGGCCTTAGATCTTACTTTTGCCTAACTGTTTAAAGGGCTTACTAGGTGTAGTAATAACGCCTTAGTTATATAGTTATTATATAAGTACTAGGTCTACTTCTCTTTAGCTAAGAGAAGGCACTAGAAGGTTTATTTATTTCCTATAGTAGTATATTAACTAGGGTCTTATGTAGTTACCTATAAGTACACTATAGAGGAGAAGAGGTTACTATTTAGACAGGTTTTCTTATTCTTATAGTAATAATAATAGTATTCTCTATATATTTACTAGCGTAGTTAGTATCTATAGGTTAGTTAGGTTAAGGATTTACGTTAGTAGGCTTATCTACTTCCTTCTTAGTGTAGTAAGGTTTAACTAAGGTAAAACAGAAGTTATATAGGCTATTAATATTAATAGTATAATCCTTACTATTAATAGATAGTAAGTAGTATAGGCTAAACTATCTGCCCTTCTTATACTATACTTGTACTTTACTGCCTAATAGTAGGTCTTTAATAGCAGAGGTATCTAGGCTATTATATACCTTAAGTACCTTATAGACTTAGCGTATTATATAGCTCTTATAGAGGTTATTAGTAGCCTTTTAGATAGTAGTTACTTATTAGATAATATTAGGTAAAGGGCAGAGTTAGTAGTTATATAGGGGTAAGCACTAAATACTAAAGGGTTAGCATAAGGCTATTAAGGCCTACAGTGTTATTAACTACCTTAACTATACTCTAAAGGATAAATTTATAGTTAGTAGTTAGGTATTCTTTATATATAATTTTATAGGCCTATTAGAGTACTATATAGTATTATTTAACCTTTTTAATACTATAGTGCACCTTAATAAGGATAATCTTAACTTTAACGCCTATTATATAGGCTTTACGTAAAAATTTAGTTATAGTAAAGTTTCTGCCTATATTAGTAATAATCTAGTCTAGAGGTCCTTAGTAGACGTTAATTTAGCAGTAATAAAGTGCCTCCTATATAGTCTTTATAGAAATATTATAAAGAAAGTATACTATATTAAAGGCAGTTATAGTATTAATAATATAAAGAACTAGTTAGTTACCTTTAAGGTATATAACATTAATAATAACCTTGTAGTTAAAAGAATAGTTATTACATAAAGTAAATTTAAATTATAAAGGTGCCTTCCTATAGAGCTAGCAGTAATAGTAGTATTTAGTTAAGTACTTAATAGCCTTAACCTTAACCTTATAACTAGCCTTATAAAGGACCTTGTAAAGGCAGTAAACTAATAGGTGCCTAAATTATTAGTAAAGTTATTATAACTCTATATTAGTTAAGTAGTAACTAGTAAGGCTATATTTAGGTAGGCTAAGAGTATCTATAAATACCCTATTTTTATATAACTAGTACTATAATATTGCCTTATTAAAGAGTATTTATAAGGTTATTAAAGTAAATAAGTAGTTAATCTATATTTACTAGGTAAATAAAAAGGGTATATTTATAGGCATTATATAAAAGGTAATAAGCCTAAATAGTGTACTAACTATAATAGTGCCCTTTAAGTAAATATGTTACTACTACTAAACTAGATCTTTACTTAGCTAGTAGTAGCTATATTAATAGTTACTAATAGTTAGATCTACTATAATATAGTTACTTATAAGTAACTAGCAGTAAAGAAGTTACTACGCCTATATTAGGTAAAATACCTTAAAAGGTGCCTAATAAGTAATAATCTAATATAAAAGAGGTAGCTAAATCTAATAATACTACACTAAGGTTATCCTTTATTAACTAGTAATAGATAGCTTAGTTAGCTAGGCTAAAGGCAAGCTTATTACTACTAAAGGTAGTACTACTAAAGAATATAGTAGAGGTATAAAAGGTATTATCTTCTAGTTTATCTTTACTACTTTTAAGAGTATAGTTACCTTAAAGGTAGTAACTAAGGTCCTTGTTGTCTTTATTACCTTCTTTTTCCTATAGGTAACTACCTTTATAGCTAGTAAGAAAGGTTTAATATATAGTTAGTAAAGAGTCTTTTACTTAGTAGTTATTTTTAAATTATTAATATACCTTATATTACTTATTAGTAGTATATTTTATTAACTAGTAACTAGGCTTATAGTAGATATAGTACTTCTTAGTATTATAGTTACTATTATTATTACTATAATAGTTACTATTACTATAGTTATTACTAAACTACTAGTTATACCTTAGCTATAGTAAGTATAGTTAACCTAGTATTAATTATTAAGGTCTACCTAGTACTAGCTAACCTTATTATTATATTTTATTATAGTACTTACTAATAACTATAGTTAGTTATAGACTCTTCTAATATAGGCACTAGATTAAATAGGTATAATTTACACTTATAAACTCTAGAGTAAGTATTTAATAGCTAGGATTAAAGGACTTTATTATTATAGTAGCTATTAGGTAGCACTTATTAAATAAAGTAAGTTTATTAATAAGCTTCTTAAGCACTTTAAGCTTACTTTTTTAGGGTTATTATATATAACGTAGTAAAAGGTAGTATCTTACTACTTAGTAAAGTATATCTAAATAGCTTTAGGGCTCTTAAAGTAAGCTCTTATTTAGGCAACTATAGTAGTAAAGTCTTAAATATTCCTACTACTAATTTAGGTAAAATAAAAGGTAAAAGCCTTACCCTTAAGTATTAACAAGAAGGCTAATACTATCTAGTGTCTTTTAATACTAATTTTACTATAGTTATTATAGAATAAGTTTAACTTAACGTTAAGTATATTATATATCTTACTAGTATACTTAGATTTATTAGTAATAATCTTAGTTAAGGTGCCTAATTACTAAGGAAAAGGATAGTTACTAATAGCGTTGTTCTTAATTAGCAGTAGCTATCTTATGCCTTAGGGTTCTATAGGATTAGTATATAAGTAAGTAAAAGGTCCTTACTATAATTAATAATAAGTAAAAAAGGATAATAGACTATTACCTTATTAAATAGTCCTTATATTATATTATATAGAAGAAGTAGTAAATCTTATATAGATTAAGTCTACTATAGTAATACTAAGGTTTACTGCTCTTACTAATATAACTTCTGCACTTATTTATTAAGTTAGGCCTATATTATTACTAGTTATTACTTAAGGTTTATAAATATTACTAGGCGCTATTTAGTTATATAGGCAATAGGTTACTATTACTATTTTTACTTATACTACTTTAGGCTAATATAACTATATTAAATATTATTTAAGAAGCTATTATATATTTTAATAAGCCTATTAAATATTACTAACTTATACTATACCTTCTTAACTTCTTTATTTATCTAAACATAAAACTTATTATTATTAACAACAGTAATAAAGTATAAGGTAATTTATTAATAGTCTTTAGGTATAAAGACGCCTTAGTTAAAAAGGAAGTTATAAAAAATTAACAGTAGTACTTTACTAGTAGCACTAAAGAGGGCTTTATCTTATCTATTAAAGTAATATTAAAAGTCCCTCTAGAGCTTATAACCTATAAGGGTATATTTAGCCTATTTAGCTATATAATAGGCAAAGTAGAAGTAAATAGTAGGAGGGTCTTACTTATTAAGAAGGATTTCTTAGCTATACTTCTTATAGTTAATATATTTTACTATAGAGGTAAATACCTTAGGGTATAAAGTACTACTAGATTAACTTATTATAAAGTTAGTTATTAAGGTTAATTAGTAGTAATTACTATATAACTTTTATAGTAGTAATTAAGTAGTAAGTTTTCTTCTTAATATAACTTACACTTGTAAGTCTAGATAGTACTAGGTTAATTTTACATATATAAGGTAAATAAGGATAGTTTTCTAAAGGGGTAAATATAAAAATAAAAGAGAAAGTTAAATAAGGTAGTAATTATTACTACTTAAGTGTCTTTTTTTAATAGCACTATAGTTAGCGTAAAAGAGATTCTTGCTTATTAAAGAGGTTCTAATAGTATAATAGATGCTATAGTATTTCTTATAGAGGTAAAGTAGCCTTAATAATACTTAACTTAGTTAGTAGTCTACTAGGTTATAGTAGGCTAAGTAAACTCCTGCAATAGTAAGCCTTATTAATCACTAGTTATTAGTAATAATCAACTATTAATTAATGTTAGTTTTTACTAGCTAATTAATAGGATCCTATATCTTATAATATCATAAAGGTTAAGAAAAGGTAGTTAAATTCATAGTTGTTAATAGTTAACTAGTTAACAAGGTAAAGTAGGAGCACAAGTGTAGTAGCACCCTTGCGTATAGGCAAGGGTAGGGGATTCTGCCGGTAGGCGGTGTGTCACGTGACCCACCGCCTCCGGCCGCATCACCCATATGCCAACAATGGGCTTCCGTCACTCCCCAGCGGGGTTGGCAGGCACCATCGTGGACTTCGGCAAATAATAAATTCAGAAATCTCTGTCGTCCGCGCCGTTCAATTTCCAGACGGCTCACTGGGTCATATCGACTATATCAACCTGAGAGCATGTGTCAAGTTGGGCAGATTAACGAGGACGACAAACACGGAAATCTCGTCCCCAGAGAGCAGAAAAAAGATTCACCACCACGAGAACAGACAAAAAAGACGTCCCAATCATTTTCTTTAGACAACTATCCAATCATGAGCGGTACATCGTATTTCTCAGACACACTCGAGGAACCCGAAACAGCAAACAGTGCCTTGGGACGACGCCATAGCCGTGTTCTCCCGCTGCTTCCACGGATAGGAATCACGCTTCCTTCCAATCAGGTCGCTGGCCTCGTACCAAGAGGCCCAGGCGATTGCCAGAGACGAAAACGAGTCAGCAAACCAAAGGTTCGATCCGGGTGTCTGACCTGCAAGATTCGGCGGGTCAAATGTGACGAACGGAAGCCTACGTGTAGTCGTTGCGAGAAGGCGGACGTTGAGTGCGACGGCTACATAAGAGAAGCCGTGGACCGGAAGAAAACGACTGAACAACAACAAATCATTGCGGCAGCTCAACAAGCAAGTCGACACCTGCTTCCGCGGCCGAACGAGCCGGTAAAACAGGGCTCAGTTCCGATTCTGACTGCTCGGCTTCGAACCAACCCTTCGTCGATGCAATTCGACCATAGAGATGTGCCGTACTATGATCTGTTCAGATATCAGCTGATCCGGGATCTTGGAGGTTCATGTCAGGCCGACTTCTGGTCACGCATTGTTCTCAACGAAATGACAAGGGATCCATGTGTTCGAGAATCAATCCTGGCGATTGGAGCAATCTCACAAACGATATTTTTTGATGAAGAGTCAAGTAAACGGTTCGACAGGGCCCCCCCGTCTGCGCTTCGTCCTTGGGGGACTTCGAAGGCGGTTTTGACCGGCTTCCTCAATCGACACCACAAGGCAGCTTTACTGCATCATGTCAAAGCAGTCGCTATATACAGAGAGCGTATCCAACAGTCGTCTTCTGATACCTCACCTAGGTCAATCATCATCATGACTTTGCTACTTATCGCTTTTGAGTTTATCCAAGGCAACATGAAGAACATTGACTCTCTGATGGGGACCGGCATGCGCCTCTTGGAAAACAAGATCACATTGCTACATGGTCTCCAACCAGGAGAAGAGTTGGATGTTGGAGAAGATTACCTATCTCCTCGATTACGAACAGGTACTCCAGACGATGAGATGGATGATATCGAGCATCTGCTGCCATGTTTGTGTCTCATGGCCGGCTTCACCCATTTTTTCAGCTCGCACAGGAATAGCGTGCTCTTAATGAACAGTAGCCCGAGACTTCAGCTTCCCAAGCCAGGCGTTACTGTTCTGGCAAAAATCCAAGCGTTATGGGGCCAGTTCTTTACACGGGCTGTCGTCCACGTGATGCGAACAATGCACGACCAGCTCAACTACAATCCGATGGATATGTTGAAAGCAGCGGAAGAGCAGAAAAAGTTTGTTGAGTACATAGGCATGTGGAAAGACGTCTTGGAAACATACCTCGGCGATCCGACGCTCAATGAGGACGCAAGAAGAACGCTGGACAGCATACAGATACACCGCCTGCTGATTCACATCGTCATCAGCTGTAGTCTTGACCGCAGCGAAATGATGTACGACCTGTTCGAACTCGAATTCAGGGAGCTCCTGGACCGGGTCGTTCGCTACCTGCGAGATCCTGGTCCGATATCAAAAGTGTGCTTCACCTTCTCGGAGGGCCTGACATCTCCGCTAGCTATGATCATCGCGAAGTGTCGCAACCATAACTTAAGAATGGAGGGTATCAACATTCTGAACAGCTTGTCATGGAGGGAGAACGCCTGGGATGGGCAGGCTTTGGTGGTCGGCAAGTCAGGAGTCGTCTGGCTCGAAGACAGGGGCATGGATGAAAACGGGTTCATCCCGCCTGATTCAAGATGGATATGGATGTCAAGCAAGTGGGATATCGAGAAGCGAGAGCTCCTAGCGACTTATTTCAGATTGACGCCAAACGAGGATGGTACACCATTCTGTGCGCAGCTCACACTCGACATGGACAACTTGGTATACAGTTGTGACTTGATAGGCTGTCCAGGGCGTCACGATCCTTTGGAAATCAACCAATTTTAACTAATTAATTTTTTTATTGTTACTTTCATTGAACCGTAACTTTCAATAAATTCCTCATAGATAAGACTCGGCGGGCAGAACAAAAATTTAGTCAATACAGTAGTCAGCTAGACCTTTCCATATTTTGCTGATTTCTGACTGTGTATTTGATTTCACTCTGTATAGTGAGTGGGGAGGTGAACTCCCTATTTTGTAACAGCAGTGGTCTGTGGGTTGTTGAGAAGGGTGGTCATGGTGCATCAGAGTGACCTTCCTATAGAGGGTAGATGTCTATGCAAAGGCTCAACACATGGTAGTGAGCTGCCTATTCGGCTTGGCAACTTGGCAAATGCTTGATCACGAGAGCTTGTAAGGGTCTATGCTGAGCCTCCAACGTTCGATCACTGCATCTCTTGCGGCGCACTTGAAAGTATCGCATTCGGTCTGTGGAATTAGGCCCTGCGCGTAACGACTGTGGTTATACAGTCATCGTCGAGATGCGGATTGACAATCCTGTGCTCCATTGAAGTAGATCTAGAAAGGATTTTAGAAAGCAAACGGTCGATAGACGCAATGCCAGCTACGAGTAAGAAATTGACGTGTTGGTTACTGCCAACCCATTTGCGTTGGATGTGCGAGCGGCGGCGGTGAAGGAATGGCGATGGCCCCGGTCCGTCACGGCTCCCCATCTAGCCGAATTTGATTGAGCTAATCATCTCTGGAAGGTGTCTTCGTGCTAGTCCGTCACCCCTCGGCAACGACCTGGCTGAACTAGCCGTCGATTGTTCCCACGAATCATAACGTGATGCTTGCGCCAATCATGGCAGCACCCACGCAGGACGGCCTGTAACGAGCGCGTGGGACTGCTCTCGGACGATTCTTAACTCCACTCCCAGTTCGATAACAACTCAAATTTACACAGAGGGCACAACTCCTAGTACAATGGAATTATCCGTATATGTAGGAAGGAAGAAGAGCAGTCGCTGTGTCATCTAGATAGGGGCCGTGCACTGGTCTGATGCTACTCGTACCTCTGCATGGATGTCCAGTGAAGTGGCGTCTTCGTTGCAACCCCGGAAGCGCAGGATTGCGTCCAGAATAGGCATATGGGATTGCAATAGGAAGGTCCCCTTCAGTGCAAGGGGCCAATTGATGAACCTGGTACTCTTCACCGCGTGCCCAGCCGCCAACAGTGCCGTGTACCGGATGATTAGAACTCCACCCAGGCATTGCTCGGCAGCAACATATCAATATCAGAAGAAAAAGAGTCTAGAATGACGAGTTTAGCATGTAGAAAACAGGTTGGAAAAACTGCATCCTAGAGCTTAGACGGTTTCGAGCGAAAACGCGTACCTCGGTGTTAATAGGCTAGTATGGGCAATCATCAATAAAAGCACGTCAAGCCCCCCCTGGTCATCGGCAGGGACGTTTTTGCTCGTTTCTGACTTGAAAACAAGTTCCTAGCGTTTCTTTACATATCAAAACTGAACTGAACCAGGTGCCTATCTCACGTTCTTAGCGCCTTGCGGCCTGGATGACTGCATACTAGGAGGGTTCACCGCCCCAGTCTTCCATTTCCTGGGCCACAGGCTAGTTGAACTTGGATGCAGTATTGATCCTTTCATTCAAATTGAATATTCTAGCTATCGTCGTTAAACCACGATATTAGGACTTGTGGAGACGAATCGCATGCGGCGTCACGCCACGAGCTTTAACACAGCGTCCTTCCCCAGATTGTTATGCGTCGAGACGATACATGATGGCGTTCCGGCAACGGAATCTAGGAATAATAAACCCCGTACTCCAGTATTTCATGCATAGGGCTTGGTAGGCCTGACCCCTCACATCAGGGGTAATACGACTTATCAATCACACTCACACATGCCTTTTTTGTCCTCAGTCCCGGCTTGGCAAGATACGAGGAGCAGTAGCTGATGGGATAGATACAGGATCCAAACGTGATCTTTCGGCTTTATACGCTCTTATCATACTGTACAGTCTCTCACAAGTATATATACTGAAGTAGAAACCTTTGTAATTAGATCCCCATCCTCACTTGCAACGGCAACCAGACCAACCGGATCCATCTTACCTATCCTTCTCGTTTATTCATCCACCATGAAGTTTCTCGCCGGTCTTTCTTGCCTCGCCGCCCTTGCGAGCGCCGCTGTTGTTGATCTCAACAAGCGTGACAGTCCCATCAACGTCAAGATCGAAGCTGTCGGAAACACTGGTCTCAAGGCTAGCATCACTAACACTGGTGCCTCTGATCTCAAGGTCTTGAGGACTGGTTCCATCCTTGGCAAGCTCGCTGTCGAGAAGGCCGAAGTCTTCACCGGATGTGAGTCACCTCTTACACAAAACCCATCGCTTCTTGCGCGTGACGCTGACAAATGCCGATAGCCGAGCAGGTTGCCTTTGATGGTGTCCGTCTCCGCCTCGCTACCTCTGGCATCGCTGAAGACGCCTTCGAGATCATTCCTGCCGGAAAAACTGTCGATGTCGAGTGGGATATCGCCGAGGTTCACAACCTGAGCGCTGGCGGCAAGTTCGACGTTGCCGCTAAGGGCTCTTTCTCCTTCGCCAACGCTGATAGCGACGAGATCGTCGGTACCGCCAGCTTCAACTCCAATATCCTTAGCCTTGAGGTCGACGGCGCCGCCGCCGCCAAGGTCCGCCGTGAATTCCACGAGAACATCAAGCGCACAGTGGTCCAAAGCGATTGCACTGGCACACAGCGTACAGCCACCACAACTGCCCTTTCCAACTGCCGCGCTCTTGCCGCCGCCGCCTCATCCGCCGCTGTTTCCGGTCCTGCCGCGAAGATGACCGAGTACTTCAAGTCCTCGTCTTCCTCCACTCGTTCTACCGTCGCCGCCGTCTTTGCCCGTGTCGCCAGCGAGTGTGGGAGCACCACCTCTGGAGTCTCTCGCCAGTACTGCACTGACATATACCCTGCCTGCTCATCCGGTGTCATCGCCTACACACTCCCCAGCCAAAGTTACATGGTCAACTGTCCTTACTTCTTCAACAGCTTGACCGCTCTCTCTCGCACCTGCCACGCCCAGGATCGGGCCACGACTGCACTGGTCAGTTTCTATACCCTCCACAAGACTATGCGTGGCCCAGCTAACAATTCTATACACCTGGCAGCACGAAGTGACTCATTTGACCCAAATCAAGGGAACCACTGACCAGAGCTCTTGCTATGGCTACAGCTGTGTCCAAAGCCTGTCTGCAGCCCAGAACTTGAACCATGCCGACACATACGGTAAAATTTCCTCCAGCAGCCTACCTTTTTGGAGAATATGTGCTGACTTCGGTGTCTTCATTAGCTCTTTTCGCCAACGGTTAGTTACCCCTCGATTGTCATTCTGATCGACATTACTGACTTTTCATTAGCCATCTATGTCGGCTGCTAAGCGAACCATTGACAACATTGTTGGCTCTTCGCTTATGTCTGGCTTGTCCGTTGCGTCATTCATGTTGGTCTCCATGGGTATTGTTCGTGGGAGATCACAACATCATATTTCACGGTTTATACGTAGTCTGCTTGAGATGGCGAGTCTAGGCTCTAGCTTCTCGGCTGCAAAATATAGCACCGTGCTGCCTCGTAAAATGTCGTTGGTACCAGAATATTAGATGTTCTGACCCACAGTCCACTCCGACGATACGTGTTTCTACGGCTTGGGTGAGGCAGTCTAGATAGTAGATATTCAAGCCGTTTTCCCATGACTTTCCCCACCCCAAAAAGTGACTCTGTGGCACCATATGATGATGAATCAATCGGAGCTTCGCATCATTCCGTGCTTTGATCGAATGCCGTCTTTAGATTTAAGGAAGTATCCTGTAGTAGTGGCCCTTGCGTCCCGGCTTAGGGTCACCTCAGGATCATCATTGACCTGCGGTCGGCAGACGTCTGATGACTAATAAAGGCCTTGATGCTGCCACCTGGCAATATCCAATGTTCCAGATGAACCAACCTTGAAACACTTACCCCTCATAGACGCAAATTCAAACTTTCCTCGCAAAGACAAGTACCTAGTGTATTTTCGACGGCGAACTATATATTGTCATGGGGTCTTTTGAGGACAAAATTGATGGCGCTGTGCGAAACAGCGACATCCCAGGCGTCATGCTATATGCGCAGGATACATCTGGTGCGTTTGACCCCGATGACAAATCCATTCAAGCCTGTCACTGAACGTAATTCGTATTCCAACTGATCGGATAGGCAACTTTCAATATTCACACATTTTCGGCCACGACTTGAATACCAAGAAGCCTCTCACAGCCGACAACATCCTCACACTAGCATCCGTCACGAAGCTTTTCACAACCATTGCCGCTCTGCAACTGGTAGAACGCGGCATCCTTTCCCTTGATCAAGATATATCTAAGCACGTCCCAGCGTTGGCGGACAAGCCCGTGTTGACGGGTTTCACGGAGTCCGGGTCCCCCATTGAAGTCCCACGCAAGAATCCAATCACCCTCCGCCATCTCCTGACCCACAGCGCTGGAAATAGTTACGACTTTCTCAGTGATACGACGCGGGAGTGGCAATCTTTTCACAAGATCAAACCTGTTCGCGGGTCCACTGTTGAAGAGCGCTTCTGTTACCCGTTGGACTACGAACCAGGAGAGGGCTGGGCCTACAGCTCCAGCTTAGACTGGACAGGCAAACTCATCGAGAATGTGACTGGAAAATCTCTGGAACAGTACATGCGCGAAAACATTTGGGATCCAATCGGTGCCATTAGCTTCACCTTTGACATTGAGACTATAAGGCCCAAATTATGGGGGATGAATACCCGCGACAAAAACACGGGAAAGATCATCCTTCACCGCGGTCGAAGCTTAAACCACGGGGTCACAGACTGTTTAGGGGGGCAGGGGTCGTATGGTTCGGCCTCAGACGTTATGCGGGTGTTACAGTCTCTTTTGGTTGATGATGGAAGGCTACTGAGACCGAGTACGACTGCAGAAATGTTCAAACCTCAGCTTTCTGCGGAGGCAAAGAAGGGCCTCTTAGCAGCAATGGAGGAGCCTGAGTGGGCTGTTGGTCATTTCCCTGCTACTCGTGAGTATGATTGGGGTCTTGGGGGACTGCTTGTTGACGGGCATAATCACCCGAACCGGCAGAACGGGACGCTGATGTGGAGCGGGGCCTCTAACGTTTTCTGGGTAAGTTATCCAGAACACTCGACCGTAGGGGATGATCATGAGGCTAACCCAACGCAGTGGGTTGACAGGCAAACTGGGTTGTGTGGCTTCTTTGCAACTCAAATGCTGCCATCAGCGGAGGAGGGAGTACGGCCATACATCAAAGCATTCGAGGACGAGATGTATGCAAGAGTCAAAGGACCCAAACCACGTGCTGTTCTCTGATGAAACAAATGTTTTTGAATCAGACACAGCATTCTGCAGTGATGAAATATGTTGCTATAGAGCTGTAAGACGTCAGTGGTTGTAGTTTAACTGAAGATGCATCTACTGTCGACTGATTGATGCGGCTAGGAAATTCCACCTGCTAGAAGTGGAAAACAGCGTATTGTCCACATGAAATTAATCAACATCTCGCAAGAGGCGGGCGTGAACAAGTAGATCATTAGATCATGTGTGTTCCAAGCTCCCGCTTATAGGAGCACTATAAGCCCAGCTGTAAGCGGGGGCGGTTTGTGACCTAGTCTGTACAGTTGTCATGTTTCGAGGAATTTCTGGGTTCAGACTTGAAATAATGGGTTTATTCCGTCTTTCCTACCTGTGCGACCTTAAGAGGGCCGCCTTGGATACGTACCTTAGTAATAGGTTGGTTCATTCCACTGGAACATATTTCATCATCGTATCCTATCAGGTTAGGTGCTATCAATATCGTGTTTCTATTCAGTCAGCAACATAGAGGCAATATTTCCAAAGCCACAACAGCCACCGAAACTCGTCAGTTAATGCCCCTTTCTTTCAAAGTTCAGCTAGTATTAGCAACTTCACGTAATCTGCCGTGGCGAGACTCTTTAGTCGGTGACAAGCGTCTGTTTGCACTATCAATGGTAATAAGGATTCTCTGTAAGCCCAACACCGTCTAGGGTGTGCAAGTACGAAAGTACAGTTTCTCTTCCTGCCTAGTCTTACGGATTGCAAGAATATCTTTGGCGTAAAATATGAATCAGTCCGAATTCAACTTTCATTCAAGCTCGGAGTTCCAGACATCTGCGACCGTTGGGCTTTGCCGTCCGACATTGGAGCACAATTTGTTACCAATGTTGGAACTTCACAGAGGACCAGCCGTTGCGAGGCATCTAGGACCCGCGCCATCAGAAGCGATGATTGCAACGGGCTTTGCGGCAAAGAACCCGGCCCTGTTTGCGCTTGCTCTGCAGACGAGACATTGTGGCGACCGGGCTGAAGACCTCCTTGATTCATGGCTTTTGGTCAGCTTTCAGCGACCCGGCCCCGTTCAAGAGCTCGTCGAAGCTGCATACAACCGTATATGCCATGTTCGAGCCCCACGGGAGACGGTTGAACTTCGCTCAGTCGCGGCAATTAATGACCCAGCGATAGACTGTACCGCTGTTCAGCACTTGCTGGCTGCTCGACGCCTAGCAGGTCTGCCTTTACATGTCGCTGTTGAACTATTCCGCCTTCACCCTCAGGCTTACGCACCCGTCGTACAGAGCAGTTTGCCTCGTTTGGCTTCCTCAGGTTGCTCGGATGGCCTCATTGAAGGTCTCTTTGACGGCTCGCCTACCCAAAGTCAACGTGGCGCCCTGCTTGTAGCCGATGTTGTTGGGAAAGCTCATTGGTTCCAAGACAAGATTATCAGTACGATGCTGGAAATCATCACGCAAGGGACTTTGTCGGCAACTGATCGAGAAAAAGCTGGCCGTATGCTTTCTAGGTTCGGTGACCCACGAGACTTGGCATCGCTTGCAGAAATCCCCGCAGGAAGTTTTGTCATGGGATCTGAAAGTCACCCGGACTCGCAGCCTTTAGGAGAGATAACTCTGCAAAGCTTCCGCATTGGTATATATCCCGTTGCTGTCAGAGATTATTCTGCCTTCGTCCGAGAAACAGGCCGAGATTGGATGAGCCAGGACGGCGCAGGTCCCGATAGACTGAACACACCAGCAACGGACCTCACATGGCACGGCGCGAGAGCATATTGCTCCTGGTTGACCCAACATTGGCGTAAGATCGGCAAAATAGGCTCTCAGAACAAGTCCGCCTTCCGACAGAACCGGAGTAGAAACGTGCAGCTAGAGGTAGCCAAACTGAAACCGAGAGTGAGGCGCTGGTTTTACCCTTGGGGTACGACTTGGGAAGATCAAGCGGCGAACAGCGAGACAACATGTCTCGACGCGACATGCGCGGTTGGTCTGTTTCCCAAAGGTCGCTCACCCTACGGCTGCTTTGACATGGCTGGTCAGGTTCGGGAATGGTGTTCGACCCTTTGGGGCTAGGACATGGCCACCCCATCCTTCCAATACCAACGGCAAGACGACGATAGAGAAGCACCAGACGCACCTCAACACATTCGACGCGTGCTGCGTGGAGGATGCTTCGCAAGTCCAAGGATCAAGGCCAACTGTACATATCGCGGCAGTCCGGAAGCATCAGGGTTCTGGCGTGGAAACGGCTTTCGGATCGTCATTGCTCCGGTAGCTAGACGAGCCAGGGATCGTATGCATAGGCGAGCGCTCCTGGTTCAAAAATCAATCGATGTGACCAAAATGCCGATGTTTGCCGGTGCGCTCTAGCTTTGAATGTTCCGGTGCATTGGAACCATCTCAGACCGGTGTCGGAGTTCATTGACATCGTGGGCCCAGGAACACCATCTTATTGGACCGGGATGGCGTCATTTTAACATCAGGGGTTCCTTACACGTTCACTTCACACACACCAGATATCAACCTCGCGCGGTATAGTCTTATTGTCTGCTACTGTCTGGTCTGAGGCATTGTCATTCCTCGTCCTCGTTCCTTGATCAGCAAGCATCGACAACCATGCCCATCAACACTAGCTTTGCTTTGCCAGAGGCAGCAAATGCCCTTGTGTTGCCGAAGAGCCCCACTGGGGCGTTCTTCCTCACGTCCACCACATCTGACCACCCAGACACCGGGTAGTCATGGTGTCCTGACGTAAGGGCTGCTTTACCACACATCAAAGCTGCCTTCTCGGCGGACAGTGCACCAGAAATGGCTTTCTTTGAGGTTGGACAGAGGCCAGAGTAAGTAGCCGACCTCACATTCGCCATCATACTCGCCGAGTGGGCATTTGCTGATGGTAGCCTCAAAGATGGAAAGTCGCTACCAATGTTTTCCGAACCAAGTGGAACGTACACAATGTGCCAACGATTGTGCGTTATCAGCGCCTTGTTGGTGAAATCAAAGAGACAGGTCGCTTAGTAGAAGCCGAGATTCTTGATGAGAAACGCCTCAAGGAACTCATTGGCGAGGATTAATAAGTGCAAAATGGCCATGCACCGGGTGGCGGCATTGAAGCCTTTCGGCATCAGAAGAGAACCCCGTCATCCACCACGCTCGGGTTTCCAGTGTCTTTAGGCAGCAGCATGCAATATGTCATCATTTCAATGCTTGTTCTGAAATATCACATATTTCAGACTGCCTAGCACCGTTTTGTACTAGCTTAGCCAAGCTAATTTCATCCGCAATGGTTCCCTGTCTCCTAGTGCCGAAATTCAGGGGCACAACAGATCCTTCGGGAAAATGGGAAAAGAAAAAACATTAGTAGTCTTCTGGCTCCGCTGCCTTTGGCTCTGCGTATTTCATAATGGATTCTCCCTGAATCCGGTGCCGTCTCCCAACATTGCATCTCATCGCTCAACCTGCCGGAATTGACCTCGTGTTCAAATCTTTCGTTTAAGTCGGCCGGGCACAATCTGCCTTGAGACTGCAGGAATCCTACTACATCATGATCTCGTTCACTCTCCTGGGCCCATTGGGCGTCTTGCTAGCCGGAGCGTCCAGCGCCGTGGCGTTCGACAGAATTAGCATTCAGTCTACCGTCAATGCCGACACTGAGGTCGAAGTCACGATCCGCAACGACATCGCCGACGGGGCCAGCTCTTTCGATGCCGGCTTCACCAACTACAACCTCTACCTTGCAACGACCCCGCCGGGCTGGGGTACCGGCCCGGTGTGCCTCTTGGCCAATGGGACCAAGATCGACGTCACCTCCGTAAAGGTCAAGATCCCTGCCGACGCCGTCCCCGACTCTGCCGATCTCAAGATAACCGCGATGGAGTGGAACTCGGACCCGACCAAGGACGGCCCGTCGGGCTTCGAGTACAGCAATGAATTCACCTTTTCCGGGGGAACAGGGGAGTGGAGCAAGACCGAACTGGATGGCCAGTCGCTGGGTGAAATGAACAGCCTTCCGTGTTCTGCTTACGCGTGCGCCCGCAAGTGCAACGACAAGTACTTTGAGGAGAGAAACACGACGAGCGAGGACCCCAACGTCTACAAGAACACGTACGAATGCGTTGCTGCGTGCCCGGGCACCACCTTCCCTTCATGGGACTCCATCGTCAACGACGACGGCGGCTCCGGCGGTGGTCCGTCAGGAACTGCCTCGGTGCCTGCTGCATCCGCGACAGCTTCGACGCCTGCTGCATCCGCGACAGCTTCGACGACGCCTACGGCCGCTCCATCTTCGTCGAATCCCGCATCCTCCTCGCAGTCTAGTAGCTCGCCTTCTCAGACTCCCAATGCGGGTTCTCGATTGGCTGCGGAGACGTTGGGCCTTACGGCGGTTGGTCTACTTACATTTTATGTCTTTATTTAGTTAAAGCTTGGGCGAATGCACATGCATACGGGCTCATCGAGCCTTTGAAAATAAGATAGATAATGACGTAGTTATCAGCAGCGATTCTATCTTGCTCCTCTCTTTGGACGGACTACTATTGTCTCGTACAGTATTGTGCTATATCTGTTCATGTACACTATGAGCCAGCGAAAGCGTGTTCCGTGACTGGGCCCGAGAATTCTTCTTTTACCTAATAGCCCTTGTTGGGAAGCTAGAGTAAGGAGCCTGGTCTTGGGGTGAAGACACTTGGCTTCATAAATGAGCTGGTTACTTTGCTAGGGATATGAGACAGCCAAGAGGCCCTGTCTGACACAAAGTCGAACATAAGAGTTCGCGCCACGTTGATCACGACTACAACTTCCACGGTCGGACTTTCAGTCCGTCTCCGTCTCAGGGTAACAGATGGATCTCGAAGCCTTGCTTCAAATGCCTTGATAGATAGGTGCTAAAAGATACTACCATCCGACTGCACATTGTTACTACTGCGTTGTACCCACAACTCGAATGCTGAAGGTTTGAATCTCCATCAGTGTTCTTTAACCTAGCAAGAAGCCGGGCTAACAGGCAGGACTGTGCAAAATACAGCACGAGTTCGGGCACATTACGGCTTCAATACCAAAGGCCTACGTCAAAGTGAAAGGAGGGCCTTGGTATGCAAGCAAACCACTGATGAAGGCGGGGATTCATATATATTGGCAGTAACTTAGTGGATGAAGGTGGTCATGCTTTAAAACCAACATAGGAAGCTTGGCGAACTCATGTGGCCCTGTGGTATACGTATCACGAGCTATTTATAACTACACGACCCAAGCTTTAAGTATGCAAGACACTCAATACTGGCCCAAGACCTCCACTGGGGTGGTAAACGTCGCCCAGTTATCCGAGTACAAGGGGTTCCCAAAAGTTCTCAGAGCGGCGTATCTTAGTCTGTGGAGGTGCATTATTAGTTATAGGTTCCGTGTCACCGATATTTGAGTTCCTTCTGGGATCAGGATGACGTACGTGTAGTCACCAATAGCAATCTGACACCCGTTCGCCAGCTCAGTATATCCGTCTTGGTAGTACGTAAGCGGGCGAGCGTTGGCTATGATCTGCTTGATGAGAGCCGAAGTAAATCCCTTGCCGTGGACCTGACGTCCACCGAGGGCGCTGATGCACAGGGCGGCTGCGCCGGCAACGTAGGGGCAGGACATGGAGGGCCCGCTCATTGTGATCCAGCGGTTGTCTATATATGCGCTGTAGATGGAGCCGCCGGGAGCCGCTACATCGGGCTTGACGCTGAGGTCGTTGAGGAGGCCCCAGGACGTGAAAGCGGAGGCTCGGGTCGTTTCAACTGTTGGCACATCGGCGGAAGCGATGGCGAGCACATTCTTGCCAGACGACCCGCTGCTGGAGTAGAAGGGGCCCTGGGAGCCAGATTTGGCGGCTGAAATCGTAACGACAACTCCTTGTTCGACCAGTATGGAGGCAACCAGCGCCCAGACTTCCTCGGCCCAGCCGCTTGAGCCCCCTATGCTACAAGTGATGATGCCCATCTGTGGCTCATGTCAGAAATGGGACTCGGAGGCTGACCAGCAACCAAGCTGGTGAAAGAAGTCGTTCTCAAGTTGAGAGGTACCCACTCCGTCATCATACGCTGTCAAGAAAGCTTCGATCAGCGTCGCGGAATCTGTCGAGCCCTGAGACTCAAAGTTAGCAAGTCCTGTGTACCAAAGATAATTATGCGCAAAATGACCAACGCCGTGATACATGAACAGACGAGTGAATTGAGAATAGTATAGTATTTCTATAGTTCATCTAGTCCTCTGACGGCACTTTTAACCTTTGCCTTCTACGGCGGTTTAAGGGATGAAATTCCGCATCTATAGATGGACGCCCTTGGCTGGCCATCGTTTCTGGAAGCAGCGTCACCGTTAGTATTCCTGCACAACCCATGATCCAAATGGTGCGCTAGACGTACGTCTGGGCTTATTTTCGTTCTCAGCCGTCACACCAAAACATGAGTGTCAAGAATCCACGAAATGTTTCCTAGCGTTGTTGTCCAGTTTAATTGACCGTCTGAACCCAACCGCCGCCATGATGATTCGTTGACGTAATCAACCCGACCCACAAAAGAGTTCTCTGTTTACTCAGCTCAACTTCCATCGTCACCAACTCGTTCCCACCTCCCTACCTCTCATATATAACCACTCCAGACGTTCGTGCGCCTCTCCCCCCCTGTCCCATCCCAATAAGTGACTAACCCTTCTCCATCCAGATGGAGCAATTCGGCCTCGCGGCAGCCCACTCGGGCGCAATCAACCACATCCACGCCGTCCACTTCGGGCCGGCCGCCCTCGACATCGCCAGGGAGGTGCGGCTGGCCGTGACCGTCGTCGTCGTCGGCTGGGTCGCCGTCACGGGCATTCGCGCGTTTTTCGATCGCGGGAAGCATTAGATAGGAGCACTCAAGGGGGGGGGATGGTCGGCGACGTCTAGTCTATCTAATAATCTATCCCGTACAGGGAAGCTAGGTCAGCGGTCTGCGGTCTGCGAGCTGCGGCTGCAAAGTGGCTGGCTCTCAAGCGCAGAGAAGGCGGCTGTCTTCAGGAGTTTGCGTGAAGTTGCGCTCTGCTTCAAGTACGCAAGAAATTTTTTGGGAAAGCTCGAGGGCTATCCAGACCTGCTGTCAAGATGTTGATGTCTGGGGGAAGGGCACGTTACGCATTTTGCTCGTAGGGATTATCGCGAACAGCGCAACGAGGCGTTTGACAAGTCCTGTATCACCATCCTGATGAGTTGATGTAACATCCACTCCTGTTTCTGCTCACGACATGGAAACTCAAAGTCATCATGCACAATCGACAGGCGGTTTGCATGTGTGTGTAAAAGGTTGAAAAGGTGGTAATTACAAGTACCTAGAGCGACTTGCATATGTAAAACAGAATACCAAGCATCGTTACTCGTAAAATATTGTCATCTCGTCTCATCCACTCATCCTCCCGTCGAGGCCGTGTTCCCAGTCATTCATTATCCATTCCCATCCGTAAAACCCATTACCTTTGGGTTATCCTTTTCCCTTTCCTTCCCTGTGTCCATCCGAGAACATTGGAACCAGCCAATATTCTTCCCAAACGCCCCAACCACCTTTCTTTCTTTTCAAACCAAATGCCGAGAGAAGGTAGCACGAGGAGCTCAGCAAGCACCGTATCGCACACCCCTCTTGCCCAATTCCTTCCTGCCGACGGGGTCCTCGGGCATGATCCACCCCCTCGCCCTCTTGGCCTCTCGTTTCTCCGCCAGCTGCGGCTTGGGCATCCAGTCGTCCCTGGGCAGCGCCTTGCGCCTGGTGCCCTCGGCGGGCGCGCCAATCTCCGCCTTCCAGTGCGCGACGCGGCCCCCCTGCGGCGCGTCATCACCGGCCATCATGCAGAGGCCCCACAGTGCGAGACACGCTGTCATTGGGATCTCGCCAACCTCGCAGTCGGCGTCGTCGGCAACAGCGCCTAGCTGCACGGAGGTGACCTCGAGGAAGCCAAAGTTAGGGACCGTCTCAGGCCCGTTGCGAACGATGACAAGCTCGATCTCGGTCAGGATGAAGCCATAGCGGCACGAGTGCTCGCGCATGGCGTGGTGCAGGGCGGCGAGGCCGCGGAGGTACTCGACGCGCTTGATGTTGCCCTCGACGCGCATGCCCGTGTTGAAACGATCGAAGGAGCGGACGAGACCGACAACGCGGGCGGTGGGCTTGCCGCCAAAGATCTGGGCCGCCGAGGCGGGTTCCCCGGCAGGGGCGGCGGTGAAGAGAAGGTCGGAGTGCTTAGAGCTGTTGGCGGAAGCGGCAGGAACGGAGAGCTGCATGGGCCGGTTGGAAGAGATGGCGAGGGCGGCGTTGAGCTTGGGGAGGTAGTGCGAGGCGTAGATGCTGTGCAGGGCTGCTTCGGTCTCCGGATGACGTGCCGTCTGGGCCGGGGTGGGGAGAAGAGGCGCCGGGACGGGGCAGTTGAGGAGAGCAGCAGCGCCGGGGAGAGAGAGAATGGAGGAGGCGTTGAAGGTGGTCCAGGGGCGGATTTGACGAACGTCCCACCAAAAGTGCTTGGTGTTGGGGTCCCGCAGAGGAAAGGAGATAGTGCGGACCAACGAAGGGGCCGGGTTGGACTCGGTGAGATAGGTCAGAAGCGTCGTGCTGGGAGTTGGGTCCGGGGTGGCCGGGGTGGACAAGCTAAGGGGAGAAGGCGCACGAGGGGTGTAGGACGGATACATGTATGCCTCTGCGGTAGGTTGGGGTGCAGCAGAGGGAACGTATGAGGGCATCTGGCGGTAGGTTGGGAAGCCGAACTTCTCGAGAGCAGAGCCATCGAGGCTGCAAGTGGATTCGCGGCGGGACTGCATGTCATCGGCGAAGATGACGGGCGAGCAGAGCAGGGACGAGGTGGACGGCTCCTCGGGCTGGCTACAGAAGGAGGAAGGCATGTTCCATGTGACGGCCTCCGGGTTGGTGAAGCTGCGGGAGTGAGCCGGGCGGAAGACGGCATTGGTGGCGGGGGCGGAGGGTGTAGCCCGCCGGGGAGTCGGGGCACGGGACTTGGGTGAGGTCTTGATGCGCTTGGGGGGCGACTCAATAGCTTGGTCCTGGGAGCGGATCTTGGGGAGCAGAAGGGGCCCATGTTGGCGGATGGGAGGCGAGGCGCGGGAGGGCGTGGTCATGCGGGTGCTCACCGAGTCCGGGGTGGACTCGGCAGCGGAGACGAAGGAGTAGACGGAGCCGTTGGAGCGGCTACGGCTGTGGCCCGGGTTGTGTTGGTAGGGCAGGTCGAGGAGGGAAGGGTCGAAGGAGAAGCTTGGCGGCGTTGACGGCTCGCACGAGGGGAAGATGAAGTCGAACGACATGTCCGCTGCCAGACTGAGGGGGGTTGTGTGAGCAGGGGTGTAAGTGAGGCGAGTAGCAGAGGGGATCTCATACGTGGTCATGTTGACTGCGAGGCGGCTGTGTCTCAGAAGACACGATTATGGGATTATGGGAGGTGTTTCGTGGGCGAGGAAGGAGGCCAGCTCCAGAGACTTGGGTGTTTGAGATTTTGTTTTGTGGGCGGGTGAGGAGTTGTGAAAAGCAGACGAGGTGCTGTGAAGCAGGGACAGGTTGGCCGCGTTCAACGAGACCAGTGTGTCGAGATCTAGGTGTATAACTTTTTGTTTTGGATTCCAGAATATGCAAGCAATAGCAAACAGACAAACAGGGAGACAACGAGATAAGGAGGAGAGCGGGAAGGGAGGAGACGAGGGGACGAGATGAGGATGGAGAGAGGAGGGCCAACAGAAGGGGACAGGAGAGGCGGGAGGGGAGGACATCTTTATCCTCGCATCTGAAGCTCGCAGCCCAATGGATGTGGTGGTGGTGATGCGGCGCGCGACTGACGGCCATGTAAGAGGGCATGTGTGGGTGACCGCCGCCGCGGCCCTCGCAACCCCAGGCTAGCCTACCTACCTACCTAGCCTTGCTTGGGACTGACCGTAACGTCGTCGGGTCGGGGGTATGGGTCTCTGCATCTGCACATGCATGGATACCGGAGGGTACAACGCAGCGGTGGGTTTGGCTGCGCGCATCCGGCTTAGGTGGAGGTGGTCTCGGGGGTGGTCCCTTGGACAGACTGAAGGCCAAGACAACGAGGGCCGACTGACCGGAAGGAGAATGAGACGGAGTACACGATACCTACGCAGAGACAAAGAAGAGAGAGAGAGAGAGAGAGAAAGGGCACCGTCGTCTGACACACCCGGCCGGCCACGAACGACACAGGACAGGGAAAACAAGGTGGAATGGAGCTACTGCAAAGGAAAAAGAGAGACTTGGTGATGGATGGATGCATCATTCTGGAAAGCAGAGGTCCGAGTCTGGCCACCAGGCCGCTGAGAGAGAGCAAAATGTGAAACACGGGGGAAAAGTGTCTAGATGGTTCCCACTTAGAGGCACACGCACGGCGTATGCATATGCTGCAGCAGAAGAAGTCGAAGCTGTTGTCGGGTCGTCCGTTCCTTCCTTCCTTCCTTCCTTCGTGAGTGGACGATCGAGCAAGAGCCATATGGACGCTCTTCTGCTTTCCCAGTCTGGCCGGAGGAAAGAAGCACGGCCGGGGGTGGGAAGGAGTGGTGTGGACCCTCTGGGGCGGAGCCTGAGGTCGGCGCTCGCTTGTCCTGCACACGGTGTCGTTCACCAGGAGTTGGCCGTGGGATACAGTGTGTATATAGGTTCTGGATACATTGCGGTGTCGACCACTCACCGTCCACGACAGCTGTCTTGCATCAACCGCCCTTTGCAGTTTCCACAAATCCCACCAAAACCACCCTTGCAGGGCGTCTATGACTCATTTTTAGACACATGGCAGTTACGGTAGTTTAGCTCGCCTTCCCTAGTATACATTAGCTTTCTTCCTTCCTTGGCTTCCCTTCCTAGTCGGTCATCCTGCCCCCCCCCCCCTCCCCCCGCCCCACATCGTCTGGTGGGACGAACGACTAACGACGGACGACACAAACATCAACAACCCCAAAAGATGCGCCTCGGCGTTGGGGACAGACGCGCCTCGTGCCCCCCCCCCGCGCGCCCGTGTGTGCGGCGATCATTCGACGCGATGTCATGCGTCGCCGTGACATACGATGCGATGTGATGCCATGCCGTGCCGTGCCATGCCATGCCATGCGCCAATCTCGGCCGCGCTCTGCGTCGCGTCCGACGGACGGGGAGAAGCGACGCTCGCGACTTGTCCGCGAGGGCATTCCCAACTCGGTCTCCCACTCTCCCCCGAGAGCTTGCCAACACACCTCGCAGTGCAGTCAAACCGTCATGTCCTCATCTCGCTTTCCCTCGTGAAACCTACGCTCGCCTCACTCGGATCGTCATCACCTGCCCGAAATTGACCGTTGTCTAAGCCCCAACCCTACCTAGGTGCCTTGGATGGGTACATGCCTGGTAGTATCGCAATAAAACCAGCCGAGCGGCAACTTAGATTACCGGCGGCTGTCGCTTCATGCTGCGTCTCCCACTGAGACACCTCAGATCGGGTCTCCCACTCTGGGTGCCACCATGCCGGCGCCAAACATGCTCCCATACTCGTGCGCCAAAATTGCACTGTACGAGAAAAGCAATGCCCCTCCCCGCCCCCCCCCCCCCCCCACCGAAACAGCCGCTCGCTCGGCTCTCTTAACCGCCCGGGCGGCTACGGATTATGTGTACACGAGGCTCTCCCTCTCCTCCTTCCCGATTTCGGACGGCGCTTACAGTCAGCCCTTCCCCGCTCCACCCCCTCCATGACAGACACTGTGAGACAGGATGATGGAAGATCGGGCGGAAAAGGGCCTTGTAAACAGGCTTCAGGAGGGAGGTAGCCAGCCGTCTGCTGACTGCCAGTCTCACCATCAAGCAAGACTCACCCTTACAAGGAGCCGTACGACCGACCTAAGCCCTCCTAACGGCCCCGAAGTCGGGCCCCCTCGATGCTGGAAATGACGATGGAAGCTGATGCTCCCGTCCTGCTTACGTGCCTACGGGGCCCCGAGCCTCTTTTTCGTGCCGCGCACGCCTCGGTGCTCCCTACGCACCGAAAAGCCTAAGCCTCACTCTAAGGGCACCGCCCGCGACGTGGAATAAACAATGGACCAGTCTCGAATGTGTTAACGATGCGGATCTTGCACACCCAATTGTGCCTTCTTCTCACTGGAAGGGGCGGCGAGGCTGATATTCGCCCGGCTGCCCTCCTTCTCCGCGATTCGTAAATCCCATGTTGCCTCCAGAGATAGCAGCTACGGCCTTTACTCGGCCGTCTCTTCCGTAGCACGACTCTCGTCCTCCACATCCGCCTTCGAAGGATCGAAAATGGGGAGATACAGATCAAACCCTCCGACACAAAGGCTATCGAACGAGTGGCACTTGCACAGCCGCACAACCAGAGCGCTTAAACCATCCTCGCTTCTCCTCCTTCCTTTCTCGTCCCTCTCTACTTCCCTCAAGCGCCACACCAGACCAGTCAGCATCCAAATGCCCCTCCCCCGTCCATTCTTTCCCTGCTCGCTCGTCTGTCCCTTCCCGCTCCCGCGTGGCCCGTGCTCCCCACACACGTCTTCAACGGTCCGTGCTGTCGTCCGTGCATACTACTACTACATTCTCTCCCCTTCTTCCTCTTCTAATTGGCTGCTTATCACGCGCCAACAGCCCACCCAATCTCGACGCGCCGCAGATCGTTCAACCTGCCAAACCACGACCCTTCCGTCCAATCGGGTCCCCGGTGCACCTCCAAACCCGTGTCTCGACCGCTTCATTGGCCCAGCCGTCCTCCCGGGATGTTTCACGACCGCCTTTTTGTTTCTTCGATATCCATGGCGGGAAACGGGGAAGAAGGACCCCCCACCCCCTACCTACCCTTTTGTCCTCGTTGTCGTCGTCGTCGTCGTCAAACATGTATGTACTCCTAACCCTAGCCCGGCAAATGCTGTCCGGACCCGGAAAACTCTAGCCTTGGTCATATCCATGCATGATGAACACACCCGTCCGTCCTCTTGGCTTCCCGCAGGGAAGGGTGACTCACATCTTTTGCTGTCCCCATCGGCCGGTGAGCCACCCTGTTTAGCCGAGCCCATCCCAGAAGATGCCACGACAGCCTCCTCGGAGCCTGCCCGGGAAAGTCGGGGAGGCTGGCTTTGAAAGGACGGGCACTCTGCGTAATGGCATCACCGAAGGTGACCGTATTTTTTTTTTTTTTTTTTTTTTTTTTTTTGCTCTGCTTTCTGGCCCACATACAGACAGGCATCAATTGCATGGGGGAAGAAAACGACAGGGAATAAAGACAAAATTCAGACTGGAGTCTACGTAGGTATCTTCATGTATCCATTTGTCTAAAAGGGTAAACAGGTCGTCCTTGTCTCGGGATATCCTCTGTCCCAACTCGAAGAAAGAAATAAGGACAAAAAAAAGGCCGTCTAGTCCACTCTTCCCGCGCCCAGGACGCCAAAAGGGTATCCATCAAAAAAGTGAAGAGGTCTGCTTGCTAATACATAAATGAAAAAGGAGCAAGTGAAGAAAGAAAGGACAAAGTAGAGACTGAGAGTGACTCGACTCTCTTTCTCTCTTTGAAGGTGTGCTTGTGCCTCATGCAGGTGAGGTGGTTCCCCCCCCCAATACCACACACACACATTGCTCTCTACCTGCATTCATCCAGTCCGTTGCGACGTAGACGTCTGACGGACTGATTGCCCCGTCTCGCCGCCGCCGCCGTCCATTCACAACCAACCGCTGGCCGAGACGCGTCGTATTTCCATACCACGCGTCTCCTCTATGGTGTTGAGAAAAAGTCTCCCGCCCCATCCATGACATTCGGTCAGTCCCAGGTAGACGGGCTGTCGTCAACGCACAAGGCATGGTAGTGCAGGGTCTAGAGGCCCGCTCCATTCGCCACCTCACCGCCCACTCTGGAGCTCGCACTGCTGGCTCCCTCGCCCGCATCCGTCCCCGTCCCCTCACGCGTCGATTGACTCATACTCGAACGCCCTGAAACGTTTGCCAGAGAGGCGGAAGCCCTCTCGAGCTCGACCTTGCCTTCTCGCAGTCTCCGCAGCGCCCGCATCATCCCGTCCAGCCGGAGCCGTTCTTGAATCACCATGCCCTTGGCAAAGTCCTTGATCGCCCGCCGCCCCATCTTCTCGTGCAGGTCTTGCCACCCGGCCAGCTCCCCGGCTACCACCTGCTGCGAGTAACGAAGTTCTCGGCCGAGGTCGTCCACCTGCTCTTGCGACTGGCGCGCCTTCTCCTCCCTCTCTTCGTTGAGGCGCTGTCGCGTGTCGTCCAGTAGACCGAGCGGCCACCGTGTCGACCGCGTCAGCGAGTTGTAGCTCCTCTCCGCCGACTTGCGTGCAGCTGATATCTGCGCAATTTGGGCAGGTGGCCGCGAGAGTGCCGACAGGAGCGCCTGGATCGTCGATTGCGACGCCAAGAAAGTCGAGTGGAAGATGCCGTAAGGATTTGATTGCATTGGTGCAATGGTACGGACATACGAATCGAGCGCTGTGATGTAAGCCGGTGGCAGGAATGGCAGCGTCGATACTGCGCGGTACAGAAGAGTCGATGCATCGTGGAGGTCTACCTTGGTCAGTGGATTTCTGTGGCCGTCAAATCGGGCGAATCAAGACTTACCTGATGCGACAACGGAGATCGAGTTGACTCTCCTAGCCACGCTCTTAGTCGAGTAGTTGACGCTCCGCACCATCTCTCTTGCATGGTCCACAAACTGCTCGACCTCGCGCACATCCCGCACTGGCTCGTACTCTTCCCGAACCTTCTCAGCTCGAGTCTCGGCTTTCAGCTTGCTCCTTTGCTCCATCATACCGAGCTGGATGTCGGGCACCAGGAAGAATTCCCAAAGCATCTCATGCGTCGCAAACGTCGGATGGTTGAGCATGATCTTGAGAAACCAGTCGACACGAGTCTGGATATCCCTCAGCACCGCCCTCGAAGGCTTTGAAGGTATCTGGAACGGCGACCGCACACCTGCGACTGCCGGAATCCACGACGCCGGGTTCTCCAGCGCAAGCAGGTTGCCAAGATTCTCGAAATCCGAGAGGTTTCGGCGGCTCGTGGTCACGGTGTAGCTCAAATGGTCGGCCGGGGCGGCCGATTTCAAGACCAAGCGAATGGTTGCATCTTCCACAAAAAAGGCTCTTACGACACCGGTGATGCGCGCATCCGCGCCAGGGGGCATGCTGAAGAGGGCCAGGTCGTCAATCTTGTTTCGGATGTCATCATCCTTGGCCAGTTCGACGGCCGTCAGGCTTCGGAGTTCTCGGGCCGCAACATCGACGCGTGCATCCACAAACAACGTCCTCACCATGTCCAGTCTGCCGTATTTGCTGGCGACCATCAGCGGCGTAAACTTCTTTTCGTTGGTAGCATTGACGTCGACATCGCACTGCTGGAGAACTCTAATGGCGAGCTGCGGATCGTTGACAATGTGAAGCAGCGTGTTGCCCTTCGCGTCCACATGGTCATCAATATGTAGAGGAAGCCCGTCGCCCTGCGCTTCCGTGGCAGCATCAAGGCCGGCATCCACCATTTCGCGGTAATGAACGTGGTCATAGGACCGGCACAGCGCAAAAAGCGGCGTCTGGCCGTTCTTGTCTTTTTGCCGCCAGGGGATTAATTTCCCGATCCGAGAGATCAAAAACGGCGCGTGGAACAGGTAATGCGCGCAGCTGCGCCCCCAAATGTCCTGTTGCGCAAAGTACTCCAAAAGCCTCTCTTTTGGCGCCGAGGCCATGACGAAGTCGAGGACGATGTTGATCAGCTCTGCGTGACCCAGTTGAACCGCGGCGCTAAACAGCGTTGTATCCTCGTTGTTGATGTCGTCCAGTACCACAGAAGGCGGATAATATTCATCCAGTGTAAGCAAGTACCGCAACAGATCGGGCCTCTCGTTTTGCACAGCCATCATGAGGATTGACTCTCCGAACAAGTTATGCGTCTGCGATAACCGATCTATTGTGATGTCTCCTTCCAGCACGCTTCCAACAGTTCCGTTGCTTGTTGCCCTGGAATGGTATGAGATCTCAGACCCGCTGGACATGCTTCTCGTGTCCATGGCGACCCTTTTGACCTTCCTTGGGGGAGGAGGAACAGGGGGCAAAGGGAACTCAAGGGCGCTACCGTTGTCCTCGGCCTGGAATGGGAAGACATGGCTGAGACCAGAGCCGGAGGAAAACCGATCCGAGAATGTTAGGGCGGTGGACGATCTCCTAGATGTAGAGCCATTGGTATAGCTCCAGCTCCGAGACGGCCGTCGACTTGAATCAGGTGAGTCGTAAAGATCATCGTCGATGATCACGTTTGAGTCCGGCTCCATGATTTTCTTCAGGTCGTCTAAACTTCCGTTGCAAGTAGCGTCCCACAGCGCTTTGTTTCTCCGACTAGCCCTCCGCAGCCCTGCCGAATCAAGTACAAGGTACGCCAGCACAGCCTCAAACGTGCTCAAGGCGTAGCCCATTTCGCCGTTGTCAACGTCGTCGATGAAGATAAAGTGGCGAATATAAATGAGCCGGGCGTGCAAGTGTCTTACTTGAGCTCGGATGACGACGAACAACAGTAGAGATACAAGAGTATCGGCATTGACGGTGAGGGTTGGCTTTTCCAACGAAGAGGCCGCTCGCGCCTGTGAAGAGTTTGTCAGGTGCGTCACCAGCTTCATGGTTGATAGAAGCAAGTCAAGCATCTCTTGCGGACTCGGGGCGTTGGCCATCTTCTTGAACTCCTCCACGGCTAGACCAAGTTGTATCGTGAGATCATGCTTCCCTCGGGTGCCCCCTTCAATGGCAATTCCCAGCTGAGAAAGGTCGATGAACTCCATTTGCCGAATCTTGGCCTCCAACTCCAGGTCGTAAGGTCGCTTTAATGCACTGAGACGGGGAAACAGGAGATGATGCACATTCTCCGAGACATATCTCTCGATGAGCCTCTCAACAAGTGGGCCCGTCAAGTCCGTCGTGGCCCCAAGCATTGAAAGTTGCTGCTTGTCGACGCCCTGAAACAGATCAATTGCCGCAGTAACGGCAGTTTCGAGCGATGCCCTCATCACATCCTCGTCATCCTCGGCGTAGAAGTTTTCCGTAACAGGTAGTCCGTTGGAGACCCCGTTGGGCCGCTGTGCTGCCGACATGCTGTTAGACCTAGCATTCCTCATCGCCATGGTGATGGGTCCGTCGGGCGCCGGATCGGGTATGCGGAAGGCTGAAGGGGGCGGCGGAAGCGGTCGCTCGAAGACTGTGGAGAATTCTCGGAAAAGCTTCTCCAAACCAGGCTGCATCTGTCGCGCGATGACGGGGAAGTGGGTGAGGAGGTCGTGAAAACTCTTGATATCCTTCTTGCGCGGCACCATGGCACCTTCGGTGCCCTCGGCAGCGGATGACCTGCTCTGCTCGAGCGCTTGTCGTCTCGCCATTCCCTCAATCAGAACCGCCGGCTCGATCTTGATTTCTTCCCACACCCCCATCAGCGGCCGCGAGATATAGTAAATGAGCCATTGACGAGGCTCCAGCATGTCAGGGTACCATGTCGAATCGTTGAGGAGTTGTGCTTGCGCGAGCGATTTGAAGCCTGCAGGATGCACGTTAGCTATCAACGGTCTGCATGAAGCCTCTGTGCGACAGGCGCACCTTTATTGCTGTAAACATGCGTGTCTTTAATGACAACTGTGCGACCATTGATGGTCTGGTACTGCTTCGCCTTGCCCCTCAGCTCCCGCAAGTTCTGCGCGCCATCCTTGCCTCCAGCCGCAGTAGTGGTGTTGGATGCCGGTATACGGAGCACATGGCTAGCTAGGAACTCCTCCGAAGTGATGAGCTCATGGAAGGTCGAGCCACTCTCGATCTCGCGACATGTGAAGAGTACGTCGGTGGCCGGGACTAGGAGGATGTGATGATGTACTGGCGTACACTGGGATGGTAGGGAGCTTCGGAAGAAGGCGGCGAGGAATGGATTTAGGGGTTGCATTCATTCGACTGGCGCTGGACGTCCTCGACCAGCTCACCTGGCCGGGGAAGCCAGGATTGCAGGGAAAAGAGAGGTAACGAGGGTCGAGTAGGGGTTTAGAAGTCGGAGGCGTCGGAAGCGACAAGCAAGGTAGGAAGCGGACGATGATCGAGGTCGCTCAAATGAGAAATCTTCGTTATTGGCCGGTTGGACGTGATTGGCAATTCGCATGTGTCGTTCGTTGACTGGTGAAGTCGTTCGAGTCGTGATGAGGAACAACAGGCTGTGATGGTCGCGATTCCCCTGGACAGATGGCAGCAAGGTGTTGGAGCTGATGTGGGCCAGGCCGGACCAGGCACTGACCTCACCCAGGTTGCAATGCACGTCCCACTCTCACTGGGCCACTGAACGCCACAGCCAAGGGGGAGGAGGGGGGGGGGGGTTACCCAAGGCACTCAGGAATCAGCGCTGAAGGTACCCACCCGATCCTCCATTGAGGCGCATTGATTCGCTGAAAGCAGGACAGAAGGCAGTACGGAATGCGGAGAAAAACGATATCCGAGAGGCGGTACTTCCTTATCCGGGCTGGGCCCAGGCAAGCAAAGCAACCTTAATCATCCATGCTCCCCCCCACGGAGAAGCTCTCGGTGTTCCGCGCTTAGAGAATTAATTTCCAGCCACATTTGTTGAATTACAGAGTAGCTGTATACTTCACGTGTTCGCTTGGAAAGAAGCCCACCTCGGATAATCATTTCACATGCGCGCATGCCCTTGGTTTCACTGCTAGTTGATATGGGTTGCCGATAAATGACATTTTGCCATGAGCTGCTTTCTCAATTCTTGGCCGGAAACCAACAAAATATTGAGGGAGGGGGGAATGTTCATGAAACGGGAAAAGAAAATACGCACCAATGAATAAAGGTCCACTTCAACCCCATTCCGCCTCGACGCAAAATTCTTCAGCAACAATGTCTATAATGCAAGAAAATGCATTGCCGATAGTCTCGTCAAAACACAAAGGCAAAGTGAAGGGAAGCCGCAAGTCTCTATGACAAGATCAAAAAGATTAACCCGTCAGAGTGGCTATGCCAATCGCGGTGAGGATTTGAGCCTCACGCGGGGGTCGAACCCGCAACCTTGAGATTAAGAGTCTCACGCTCTACCGATTGAGCTAGCAAGGCGGGTTAAATGCTTGATGACGAGACAGACGATCTCAGACTCTATGTACCATTCACGTGCTTGGCCCAGTGATATCGATCCACTTCATGTGATGATACCTTTTCTGAAAATTAGATTGGATTCTAGTCGAATATCTTGCAAATTGTTTAATGACGGTCTATCTTACAGGTCTTTCCTTCAAAACTTATAGATTTGATCTTTTCGGTACCCAACTTGTTGCAGCACACCCGGCGCGCTTCTTTTTCCAACCAGCGCCGCCTCCATTGCCGGCGGGCCACACACAAACACCTTGGTCTCGATGCCCTTCGGCACTGCGCCAACTTCCTGCAGCAGCTCTTTCGTCACATAGCCCTTTCTGAAGGGCGAGTTTGGCATAGGATTGCTGACGGTATAAATAGCTTTGAACCTCCCTGGAAATTCCTTCTCAAACTGCTCAAACTCCTCCTTGAGCAACACGTCCTGGTCTGAGTTAACGCCGAAGATGAGCGTCACGGTCGTCTTGTCCTGCGGGTTGCGAAGGATGCCTTGGGCCAGCTGGTAGATCGGCGTGATGCCCGCGCCGCCTGCAATCATGGTAACGTGAGAGTAGCTGTTGGGCTTCCACTGGTGGCCCTTGATCGCTAGAGCGAAGAGAAGCGTTTCGCCTGGTGTCAGGGAGTGGAGATGTGTGCTCTGTTTACCATCAGGGTACTTTTTCACCATGAGTTCCAGGTAGCCGGTATCATCTGATTATCCGTCAACGCTGCACTTCATGTTAAAGCTGATAAAGTAGTCATACCTAGGGGCTGAATGGGCGTGTAAGGTCTTGCGACGGGAAACCATCGACCCTCGGGCCATGACATTGTGAGGACAGCCGCTGTCTCATTGTTAGTTAGTTGGTCAACGATTTCTCTGAGTGCAACCAATCTCACATGTTAACGAGAGCCCGCTAACGGCATCCCTTTGAGGTAGCTTGAATCGCAGACGTTTCGTGTTGTGGTTGACCTTCTCCGAGCTCTCCAAGGGCAATGATACGAATGCTGGGCCCGCGCCAAAGACCTTTGGCGGCGCACCCGATTCTGCGGACGCATTTCCCACGAGAAGCTTTGACATGACACCCAAGCCAATGCCGCCGGCCGCGACGGCTGCTACGACGTTCGCCGGTCGGAAGCGGCGGATTGCTGCTAGTGATGCCATGTTTAACGGAATGGTGCGGTGACCGAACGGTTAGTTGTATGAAACCAAGTCGGTCTTACGGCAGTGCACTAAATCTGGGTGTGGGGGTTTTGGGTTGACGATTGGCAGCCGCCGTCTTGCCGGGCGATCAGTCATTTAAGAAGTAGAGTGTTATGAGTTGAGCTGACGCATGAGACCACTGCAGCATTGTCGGACAATGCCGGGACCGAGACAGTCTGAAAGATTAAACAATAATGGGGGTGCTAGCAGCCGGTGCGATTCGGCCATCCCCAAATGTCCGGGACCGGTCTGGCCATGTAAGCGCCGTTGACAAGAACAAAGACGGGCCAACAAGGTCGGCCTTCAACCCCTGAAGAATCAAAACAACAGGGAACGTTACTACCATAACTATCGGTGCGAAGTGATCGATCATCTGTATGTGATCTTGATCAACAAGTTTGTCTAACGCGTTTTCAGGGACTCGGACGTTGCTGCCTGTCGGAGTGGGGTGATGCGATGCCGTATTCGCGAGTTATGCAACGGAGCGAACACCACAAAATTAAACCTTTGCGAATGACCGGATGACGTCCACAGCATCTGCCCGAAACGAATCATTCAAGCGATTCGTTTCAGTCTGCCCCACCCTTTCATAGAACCATAGCGTCTTGTTTGCCATTTGTCCGTCATGCATTTCACATGGTCAATTCATATTTCAGGTTCTAGCTGGTATGCTCTTTACGCCCACTGTCTGTGAGAACAAGCCAACTACACGTGTAGAGATTGAAGAAACGGCGCGGAGTGAATAAAGCATGGCCATGTAGGAAAGTGTTTTCTACTGAAACACTGCTTAGTTACTGAATTGCCAGTGATTAAAATCAACCCCTTTCCGTTGACGCCACACATAAGTCAGCCATAAACCAATGACTAAACCCTTTGCTTCATACCTTCATAATATGTTACTGATGCTCTTATAATAGTTGCTAATTGTCAAGCCAGTGTAAGTCCTGTGTCACTATGTCGGCTTTGTGTTAGGTGCAGATACAGACATTTAGTATCAAGCCTGTCAGTAGTATCATCCAAATACACGCTTCAAATTTGAGGTTCTCAACTACAAGAGGAACACTTCTATGAATAGCCATAACATTTACACTTAGACAAAGTCCATAAGAGTTGAACCTATAATCAATTCACAGTGCTACGATCAAAAAGGCAGAGGTATCAAATGACATAAAGTTGTGACTCAAAACTTAATCACGACCATCGACTCCGTTCATCGTTAAACGGCTATAATTCACCGCCGCAGAATCTTCCAAATGATAAGTTGCCGCATTTGGAGAATCTATATATATGCGCCTACTTCCTCACTAAAGCTCAATAGCCAAAAGCTGCACACATAGACAGGCGTACATTTCATCGACCATTACCAACGAAATCAAAACCACGTGCACAATTCACCCACCCACCCAAATCAATACTTGGGTTACCAACTTCAAAATCTCGCTCAGTAAATCTTCAAAATGTGCAACTATGAGGAATTCTACTTCTCATGCGGCCACTCGGTCGTGAAGATGAAGTCTTATTGTCACTTTGCCCACAATGACCCTAATCATCAATGCTTTAGCGTCAAAGTTCTGAAGGCCGTCTGGTCGCAAGGTGCCCTATGTGCTGAATGCTACGAAAGCACATCGTCTGCATCAACCCTGAGGGCACATTGAACGCCATATCTGTGCGGCCAGTGAAAGATAGGTTGTATATATGTTTGACTCAGCAATACAGTAACAAGAAGAAGAAGATCCCAAATATTTCGTTTCCAAGGAAAAAACATGAAAGTCTAGAGACACGCATCCATTCCTACACCTAGCTTTCAAAGGCAGTGTTAGTTGCAGATCTTAGGAACTGCCTACCTTATCCACCTTATCACAGTAAAAGGGTCATAGCTTTACTCGCCAACGCTACAAAACCTACATAAGCTACTGTTAATTATCAAAGCAAAAGCAGAACCAGGCCAGTACAGTATAACATATCTTGATTTCCTATGCCTCAGCTTACAAAAATCAATATTTCAAAATACAATCTTAAAGCGTCACCCAATTCATACGCACAGGTGTGACACAATCTTATTCTATGCTAGGTGTCTGACTCAATAAACACATATGACTAGAGGGATAACGTGCAATGATTAGTCAGCTGGGGATAGGCAATCACTCTTTTGGTTGGTTGTATCCCTTAGAGGATGATGGAGAACAGATAAAGATATTCAAGCACGCAGTCAAGAGCGAGGCCACCAACTATTTATCGATCAAGTCTGCGACAGACCTGGCTATGCAGGAACATGCGGTACGTCTACCTAGTTCTGGCCACCTAGCGGCGTTCACTGAGATACAGCAGGTCAACGAGTTCAGCTCCAATGGTCTACCTCACTTCAATCTGCTTAGGATTCTAGGCAGATGGGGAAACGTCAAGTATGCGTCCAACAACATCTGTAATTCACTGAAAAGTTTAGACTGACTTTATCAGTGGCCCGGGGCTTCTGTAAGCCGCCGACCTTGCTTGGCATTCGATGTTCTTGTCCCTGCTAACGTCTTGCAAGGATGCTCCGTAGTATGCTAGCGGGAACATCTACAGCCGCCGTCATCGGTCTTTCAGCCGCAATGATTGGTAGCAGTATCTGGGGTACAGCGGCTTTGCCATTTCTGGTTGGTTCGTCCATCGGGTTCGTGCTGGGTAGCGCTAGATGGTACGTGGTGGCCACGAGAGAAGCCCTCCTTCAACTGGACAACTACCCCTCCATTTTGCGACTTCATCTCATCGCAAATTTTCCCTGGAAGCCGGAGCTTGGACGCAAAGGTGTCGATTGGTATACTTCAGATAGGTTCAGATCGAGGTGGGAAATGGAGAGTATGCTTGTGGCTGCTTGGCTTACTGCACAGCCTGCGCTCGACGAAATACGTAACTGAACGGAGGCCGGGATAGTAGAGAGTTATGTGAGGCAGAGTCATGTTGAAAATGTAGACCTCGACGAGGATAAATAGCCAGAGACGACAAAAGTATGAGCTTTGGACAAGAAGTGGCACTGTAGTTTATAATCAATTACTCCACGAAACCCAGACTATAAATTCTCTTCACTTTGCTTAACAGCTTGAAGATAAATTCGGGTTTATCTTTGCTGATTTCGTGGCGATTTCACGATAAGATAAGCTACCCGGGGTATACTCGGTATGTTGAATGCTTGAGAAGTTCCACATACTTACCTTGATGACTTTCGTTATGTTGTTGTCTTCAGAATGTACCCATGAGACAGTGCGTTAACCTTATCGCGATCCACGTGAGATGCATGAGGGGATTTCCTTGGCACGGAGAACTCACATCTGTGGGGGCGCCCCAGTTAGGAGAACTGACAGTGTGACTTGTCTGTTATATTGATACAGATAGATGGCTTCTGGCCGAATACATCCACAGCACATTTAATGGCTGGGCTTTCAATTCCAACAATATGGCACGTGTGACTATAACCTGACTCGGCACACCATCGAATAGCCTGAACCCATGCTGCCGCTCGGACCGCTTGACTTGTATTTCGGACAATACAATTGCAATGTAGCGAATCATGAAGTCCAGATCAAAGCATGGACACAATAAAAACGTGGCCGTAAATGACTGATCTAAGCCCCGGTGGCTTTTTGACGAGTCTACAGACGAGCTGATAGTGTCCCCCCCTGTCAAATCTAGAGTACCGTGCACAATAACAGCGATAAACCTCATATCCTAAGGCTGCAGGTTCAAATCCAGTTTTCTTAGATTTTTTAGTTCCAAAACGGCTCCGCCGGGGAGGGCTAGAATAGTACTAACCCACCCTGCTTCCTACGCTACGCTCTGGGTCAGGATAGGCCAAGACCATCCCTTTTGCCTCTAAGAAAGTTGTGTTATCACTAAATTCACTGTCTGCTGAGGTTTATCACAGTTATTGTGCATAGTATCCGTGCTCTCAGGTTGACAGGGGGGGGGGGGGACACTATCAGCTTGTCTGATCACTCCTTTTTGACCTATGATTGAATACCAAAGCGATATTGGGTCTATGTGAAAAGTATTGAATCCAGAACGCCTGGGCTCAGAAGCCACAGAACCCTTGATAATGCTCAGCTCCATCCTGTACCCCTGGCTTCGGCGAGGTTCCGGATCCGAACGAGTGCCCGAACGAGCTGCCGTATTCGACAAACAAGAGGAGCTCTACCCATGTTCGCATCCATTCGAAGGCATCTCGCACGAGGAATAGGAGCTTGTGAAGTCTGCTTAAAAGCTGCGGATCGTCCACGCCAACGAGTACATTTGGCTATTCATACTAAGCGCTCCAGAGCATCAAGTTATCATAACAAGTGTTTTCACACATGTGCCACCTCGATCAATAATACATCTTGCTTTGTAAAACATTCCCAGAAATCGAGAGAGCCTGCCAGATTGGCCGGGCTGGGAATTACGTTCACTAACAACCTGCAATTGCTGGTATCCTCAGTCAATCATGCTCGTCGGCAAACTTATACCCTTTCTCGGCATGCTACGTGCTGCATCCTGCACACCTGTTGATAGGTTTCTGGACCGCCGTGCTACAGTGGGCCATGACACTCTGAAACCTCTTCCGCAGCAAGTTCAGGATAATTGGAATGGCCAAGCCATCGCAAGATTCAACCCCCTTCTCCATATCGCGAGTGGGTGCCAACCATACACCGCCGTCGACGCGTCAGGCAATATCAGGTATGGGTTTAAAGTCTCCCAGACATATCAAGCTTTCCAGATCTGATATCAGTTTAATGGCGGACTGAAGCCCAGCGGTAAATCCGACGCCGGCTGTAAGGATACCACCAAGGGACAGACCTACGCCAGAATGGGATAGTACAACAACAGATGGGCAATCATGTATGCATGGTACTGGCCAAAAGATCAGACACTCGATGGTTTAGCCATCGGCGCGCACAGGCACGACTGGGAACATATCGTCGTCTTCCTCAACGACCCCTCCGACCCGAACCCAAAGATCCTTGGCGGAGGAGCTTCTGGACATGGCGAATACAAGACTACAGATTTCCCGCCGCGCGAGGGTGACAGCGTGAAGGCGGAATACTACGCTGACTTTCCAACCAACCATGAGCTGCAGTTCACTGCTAAAGTGGGCAGAACTTATCCGGTTCTCGATTGGGATGCTATGAGCACAACTATGCAGAACGCCCTAAGCAATGCAGACTTCGGAGACGCCGACGTTCCGTTCATAGGCGGGAGCTTCCTCTCGAACCTTGGCAAGGCTGCAGCTTTCTAGATAGATGTCATCATGAGGACAAATTTTAATGTTTAATCTTATCGATAGAAGTGCTTAATTCAAAAATTTTGACCCAGAAGGTCAGGGATCACCTATCTGATCAAAGACCTTCCTTATCATAATCCTGAGTCCTAGAGACCGCATGATTGAGTGACTTGTTTCAGAAGCTGAATCGAGACTCAGGATCATGGTCAAACGCCCTCAGTATTATGGTGTTGATTGCATCTATAACATAGTGATTGAAGTAATGGGGATTCATATTTCATGCAAGCGACTTCATGAAGCATAGCCAGCGAGACTCAGGAACCCCGTGGCCCGTCTGTCGCGGCAGCAGCCGTGGACACGATGACGGGGTCTGCGACCCCGTTGTCCTCGATCGAGGTGTTATCGGAACTCGTCTTCGTGTTATCCGCGGGTCGCTCAGGCACGAGAAAAACGACCCAGGAAGTTGCAGGAATGCAAACCGCAAACATAACGTGTTGGTGGAGGAGCCCATGGGTCACGTGACCCACCTCCACCTCCTTCTCGGGCAGCCTCTGCCCACTGTAGGCAGCCTACTTCTAGTCAGCTACACATCACCAATATCAACAGATATTGCCTTACCTTGCTGCTCCTATAGGTTATAAGGCCTAGGTTAATACTAATTAATTTTCTTTATAATTAATTAATTAGCTGCCTTTGCCCCTTCTTTTTTGCTTTTTTAAATAGTCTACAGTAATATCTATAAAACGTTGTAATTACCGCCTATATTGCTGTTCTGACCACCTGTCTACTACAGTTGCATCACCTCTTAACAACAACAACAAGCAATAAACTTAAAACGTTGCTTCTACCCCTATCTATACCCCTTCTTACTTAGACATCTAATAAACAGCAGTAATTTATATAATAATTTAGATATACCCCTCATCCTATAAAAGAAATATATAAAGTTTAATATATTATTAGGCTACCTATAGTCTAAGGGAGACTTTTATCTACATTATATATTACATTATCCTCCCTTGCGTCAGTAATTAACTACTATTATAGCTAACAAGGTTAACTACTAAATAGTTATATAGTCTATCCCTAAGCTTAAGGGGGAGTTAAACTAGTTATAATAGCAAGTGCTAGTTAACATGTTACTTTATACTACTAGAGTTAAAAAATATATTAATTATAAAGTCCTTTAACTAGTAATTAACACTAATAAGTACAAGAATTAGGAAAACAAATATAATACTACCTATAGTATTATTATTAGCACTTATAACCTTATAATTATTAAGCTCCTTAATATAGAATAGGTTAATAATAGTAACCTATATACTCTTATAAAAACACTTAAGAAGTTTATCCCTAAGGTATCTAAAGATGCTATTACTACTCTTATTAACAAGTTTAGTAAAGGTAGTGCCTAAGACTATAAAACCCTTTATAATGCCCTTACAAGGGTTTAATACCTCTAAAGCTATATTACTAGCCTCTATAGTAAAAACTTTAACTACTATTAGGCTATTCTTATACTTAACTACTTTAAGGCGTAACTACTAGATACCTATAAGTACTACACTAATAATAATAAGACGCTTACCTAGGTAGAGGTTATTAAGACTATTTATACTCTTGCCTAGGATAAAGAACAGAAAATAAGACTTATTATATACTATAAGAACACTACTAATCTAACAGTAACCTCTTCTAGTACTAACTAGGGTACTACTTCTACTAAGAATATTACCTATAGTAGTTCTTACCTTTATTATAAAAAAAACTATTTTACTATAAAGTATTAGACTACTTACCTAGAGCTAGTTCTTACTAATTATCCTTATTATAATGCCTTTTTTACCTATATAACTAAGTATATTTATAATAAGGATTATAAAGAAGGATTATTTAACTTATTATTAACCTCTGTTTTTATTAAAGGAGCCTTAGGTGCTCTTAGTAGCTTCTTTATTACTAGCCTAGCTATAAAGCCTAGCTATATAGTATATATAGCTATTAACAACAAGGTTATTACTACCTCTAATATTATACTAGATTTAGGCTACTTTAACCTTATATTTAACTTATTAACCTACTTTATATCCTATGTAGTCTATAGTAACCTTTAACCTTTTACTACTATAAATAGTAATTAAGTATATCTAGAGGGCAGTAGTACTATTTTCTTCTAGATAAAGGATCTAGCTAACCTAACTTAGACTATTAACTAGACTATTAAAGATATTAAGTATAGCCCTCTTAGCCTAGCTAACCTTCTTAGCCTAGGTAAGTTACATAAGGTAGGCATTAAATACAACTATACTACTACTTACATTATTAACACTAAATCTAAGGCCTATTTAGCTATTATTAAATAGATCTTAGACATCTACGTCCTTTATATAACTAACAGCCTAACTATACCTATAGTAACTACCCTTAGATTAGCTATAGTTAAAGGTAAGTGCTAACTAACCCTTAAGATAATATATTACTAACTTATTTACACCTATCTATTATAGGTTATTAAGGCCTACTATTAAGTAAGTATATAATTTATATAGGCAAAAATTAATAACTTTTACTATAAGGCCTACTACTTAGCTAAATCTATAGAGCTTATTAGCTATAATACTCTATTACCTCTTACCCTTATAGGTAAAGAAATCTATCTTAACCTTATTAAGGTTAAACCTCTTTTTAAACTTAGTATATAATACACCTTTTACTTTCTTAACTATTACAGTAGTTATTACTAGCTTACTCTATTAAAAACCTATTACTATAAGGTTATTCTTAATACTATTAAGAAGTTTAGTACTATATTTACTAATATAATAAGTCTCTTAATTAAAGGTTAAATATATAATAATACACCTAAGCTTAAGAAAGTGCTCTATAACCCTTTCTTTAAAGGCACTTAACTCTACCTAACTACTGCCTATACTCTATTAATAAATAGTGTAATTAAACGTACTAGCTACACCCTTATAGAGGCTGCCTACACTCTGCTTATTAACAACAGCCTACTAGAGGATCTCTAGGACTATATACTTAACACTATAGTCTAAATCCTTAACCTACTACTATAGTTAACTAAGGGTAAAATAAGCCCTTATAAGATTATTACCTATAAGCTTAACCTTGCTACTAACTAAGAACCTCCTTAAATTAAACACCTTTGTACCTTTAGTTATATTATATATATACATAAGAAGGAAGGTAAACGCCCCCCTTGTTCTATAAAAATAGAACCCTATGTAATAAAAGGTTACCTTGTTAGCTATAGCTCTTTATATAGTTATATCTACTATATCTATATCCCTAATTAGAAGTAAGTTATCTATTACTATAACGTTTATTTTTATAAAAAGAAAAAAAAGACTATTCTTTACCTTATTACTAACGTAAATATCCTAGTAAATACTAACTATAATATACTCTTTAATAAGCCTAACCTCTAGATTTAGTTTCCTAGCTAAGTCCCTAATTCTTACCTACTAGTTACTAAGACCCTACAAAACCAGTAGGCTAACTAAACTAATAGTAGTACCTTTAATAGCAAGTATATTAATAATACTACCTATATAACTTTACCCCTAGAGAACACTACTATACTTATTTTATTACTTACTAATAAATAGCCTATAAATAAACACCTAGATAAATAAAATAATAACTTTACTAATAATAAGTTTTATAAAGTTATTTAACAGGAGGCTAACTACTTTCCTCTAGTTATAGAGGAAGATAAGCTAGACCTTATTATTAAGGCCCCTACTACTATATCTACTACTAAGTATATTACTACTAGTTACCTATGTTATACTAGCGTAGTAAAGCTACCTAGCTACTATTATAAAATAGTAGGCATCTAAAACTACAAGAAAAAGGTATATCTCTTAGCTAATATTTAAGTACACTAAGATAGTTAAAGTTACTCTATTAGTACCCTTATAGTAGCTACATTATTAAAGGTACTACCTACTAGTTATAATATACCTACTACCTTTAAGAAGGCAAAAAAAGGCCTATACTAGCACTATTAGAAATAGGCCTATAATACTAAGATCTAGTAGTTTAATAATAAGGAGGTATATACCCTTATTAACCCCCTAACTAGAGCTAAAGTACTACTAGGCAAATAGGTATTTAATATTAAAACTAATATAAATAATAAAATTATACGCTTTAAGGCCTAATAGGTAGTCTATAGTAACTTTAAGCAGGGTAATTAGTTATTACAAGAGGTATATATAGCTATAGCTACTACTACTACTATTTACCTCTTTTTTACTATTATTACTCTTTATAGATTAAAGTATAAAATATATAACTTTAATACTACCTTTCTTACTACCCCTATTCTTGCTAGCACTAACGTCTATATTAAACAACCTACTAGTTATACTACTGTTAACAACAAGGTCTAGTTACTCTAGAAGGCCCTCTATAGTCTACATAAGTTACTACTATAGTAGTTTATACTTATTAAAGGTAAAATAAAGAAGATTAGCTTTTAGCTAGTTAAAAGAAAAATCTACCTCTTCTATAACAAAGACCTTAATACTTACGCCTTAATATATATTAATAATAATACAGTAGCTATACTTACTACTAAAATAACTAGGAAAGTATATAATATACTTACTAAGGTCTACCTACTAAAAGACCTTAGCAAGGCCTCTTAGTTTCTTAGCTTTTAGATCTAGCGTTCTACTGCTAACAAGATTTACATTAATTAACATAAGTATACTAAAGGTATACTTTATTACTTTAGTTACACTAACCTTTAGCTAGTTAAGACCCTATTACTTACTAACTAGGACCTTCTTGTTACTTAGAGCAAGAATAACTACACTAAAGCTAACTAATAGCTTTATATTAAATAGACTAGCTACCTTAACTAGTTAGCTACTAGTATACACCTAAATATTACTTTTATAGTTAGTAAGCTCTCTTAGGCTAATACTAGCCTATTACTTACTTATTAGGCAGCTATTAAGTACCTTTTTTACTACCTTAAAGGCACTACTTATTATAGTATCTTATTTAGTAGACTTAACCCCTTTACTAACGTTAGCCTCTATACTATAGTAGATGCTTCTTTTGCTAATAATTACCTATTATAGGTATCTATAGGTAGTTATATTGTCTACTTTACTAGCTTACTAGTAGCCTAGAAGTCTAAGTAATAGACCTTTGTTACTTTAAGCTCTACTAAGGTAAAGTTTATTAACCTTATGCTAGTAGTAATTACTATAAAGTAGATTTATTACTATACTAAATAACTCCTTAGCTAACTACTAAATACTCTAACTATCCTTTTTACTAATAGTGCTAACATAATAGTTAACGTTATAAATCCCCTTAATAAAGCATAAACTTAAAGCATTAATGTCTAATATAAATAGATAATCTAAAAGGTTTATATCTACAAGAATATTGCCCTCTAACTTATTTATAGCACTAAGATAGCCACTAATAGCCTTATAAAGGCACTAGCCTTAAATAAACACAAGGATTTTATTAGACTACTAGGTATAGTAAATAGATTAAATTAATAGGTTATATAGGTATATAGATAGACTATATAGATAATAGGTTATATAGATTACGTAGGCTTATTAGCGTATAAATAAATTATTGCTAAACTAATAGGCAAATTACTAGCCTTTTGCTAAAGTTATTATATACTTTAAAAACTCCTTAGATTTAGAGGATTCAGGGTTAGGCAGTTATTTACCCCTATTATTACAGTATATAGGAGTGGGCTGGCAGAGCCTGAGGGGGAGTGTTAGTAGAGGAGCCCATGGGTCACGTGACCCACCTCCACCTCCTTCTCAGGCAGCCTCTGCCCACTGTAGGCAGCCCACTTCTAGTCAGCTACACATCACCAATATCAACGGATATTGCCTCACCTTGCTGCTCCCACATAACGAATGCGACAATAAGGTTAACCATAGGCGAGATCTTAACTGCGCCTATACCAAATGATAAGCATGATCCAATGGACTCAAATGACCGCACGAGACCGACGCCCAAAGTCAGGGTTTCAATGTCGTCAAAGAATGTGCCCATGAGCCAGTAAACGAACATATAATGTGACTCGTTCATGAACCTGCCTTTGTATCAGCTCGAGTCTCACCCGACGTCCACGAGAAACTTACCGGAAAAGCACGTTGACTGCGAAGCCGCGCCCGAACCCGGGAGAAGTCCAGTCCAAAGTAATCTTCGGAACTGTGTCCCCGTACAACTTCTCGTTGGCGACCTGCCAGGCGAATAGACCCAGCATGATAACTGAAAAGAAAGCCCAGGTGATCCTTGCAAGTTGCGGGCGACTGAAGCACTTCAGGTCGTAGAACCATCCCCAGAACATGTTGGCAGCGGATGCTGCAATGCCAGAGGTCAAGCCGCCCAATGTTCTGGCTCTGACGGAAAAGTACTTTGTGAGGTAGATGCCCTGATATGTGCTGTTCCAGTTGAAGCCAATCAGGATAGGGATCAAGAGGTAAAACTGCTTCTTTTTGAGCAGTTTTAACCATTTGCGGAATTCCCCCATGACAACCTTGTTCTTCGTCGGGTCGGCAATCTTCCTTCCGCCACTGTGGATTACCTTCTGCGGAGGCGATATGAGCAGGGCCAGGGGAAGACCAAGGCATTGGAGGGCAATTAGCACAAGGTAGGTTGAGTATCCCACCTTTCCTCGCTGGCCGTTTTTGGCATTCAAGGAAAGCTGGATAGAGGATCCGAGCAGTTGGCCCAGCTCCCGGAGCCCGAGCCAGATACCAGTGAACTTGCCTCTGTCCTTGATGTCGGCATATCCAAGAGCGATGGCACCTTCAGCCGCCCACAACGCAGACGCGGCAATACCGCAGGTAGCGCCGCCAAACAGGACGAACCATTCGACTCCGTAACGGTTGTTCACGTACATAGAAGCCGAGTAAGGTGCGTAGCCAAGCGTGCCGATGATCAAGACCGTCTTGAGGCCGATTTTGTTGGCCATAATGGCGAAGAAACTGCAGCCGAAGACCATGATACCGAAAGTCAAAGAGTTGGCCCCATTGACGAGGTAGGGCTCCTGTTGACCGCCCGCGCCGGTGCCTTGATAGACCCCGTTAGTACGCGCTGCGCTCGACTTGGTTGCAGTTGCCAGACTTACTGTTGAGCGCATTCCAAATGCCGGGTTGAGTGAACGAAATCAAGCCGACGATGATGACATTGAACAAAGGGCTGCGAAACCAGCGCGTAAAACGCGACACGGGCTTCAAGGGCTGGGAGTCTTGGGCCTCCTGGTCAACCTCGTCAGGCAGCTTTGCGTGGTCGGTGGACGACATTGCTGGCGATCCCGACGCAATGGTAGAGTTCATGCAACTCTGGGGGACTTGGGGGCTGTCCGGCGTTGAGCTTTTTAAGAGAAATGCCAGCCCGTACTACAATCTTACTCTTTAATAACTCAAATCAGCCATCACTAGACCCATATACATCTTGGCAGTTTGCAAGCGACTGATATCTGCCATGTTACATCTGACTGGGTTTTGTTTCTTTGCCCAGGGTCAGTCACTCCGCACCCTGTCAGATACGAGGCCGTTGCCAGATTGGCTGAAAAGATGACTCCGGCGACCTTGGCTCGTATGGCGTCATTAGAGATTGTGATGAGATATCCCAGCCAGCCGGCACAAGCGCGATCTTGTCGGACCTCCCCCCAGAAATTCGAAACAAAAAAGAAAAGGAAAAACGTGGATTGGACCCTTGGAGTGGCATGATGGGGTGGGTTCCAGGTCCGACATGTCGTCGTGCTTGCAAGGATACGATGGCGACATCTGCGAGCGGATGGCGACCTCCACAGTTCGTCATCCCCTGGCTTTGGAGAGCGCAGGACAACCATAGCATAAAAGTGCATCCAGAGTCCCATGATAGAACTTGGGAGTATCTGAATCGTAGGCAAATCCCTCGATAACCCTACTTCGACGTTTTGTGATCTATATCCGTACCGTGACAGCAACCCGCCCCAGACTTCTGGAAATATACTTCAAGATGTGGCCCATCACCATGACGCTCAGGACAGCTCCGTACGACTCGGCGGTTCATTTGAGGGCTCCGTACTCGGAAAATACGGTGTTCCCCTTGTCGTTGGCGGCATCCCGGCCAGATACCCACATAGCGCATCTGGTCGCCGCAATCCAAGAACTCTCATCCAACGAGAAGCTACGAGCTCTGTTATACGAGCATGGTGCGGTCTACTTCCAGAACCTAGGTCTGTAAAATGCAGATGAATTTTCCCAGTTTGCGCACGCGTTTGGCTGGACCGCACACGAAGATATCGGCAACCCGGTTCGACGCACCATCCGTGCCAAGAACGTGGCAACGGCCAATGAAGGGCCCAATACGCAGCCAGTTGACCCTCACAATGAATTCGGATTGAGCCCACATTACCCGGCTTACGTCTTGCTCTTCTGCGCTTCGGCACCTGAGACGGGTAGGTATTCGGCTTGTAAAAAATTGACAGGGTTCTGATGTTGTAGGTGGTGGAACCCCTATCAACAACTCTATTGGACTCTACCGCCTGCTGAAAGACAGGCACCCTGACTTCATCAAAGATGTCGAGAGCAAGGTTGGAATCTTTACCGTGTAGCTCTGCACAAGTTCTTAAGACTTGGGTCAAAGGGCGTCAAGTACCAACGATTCTATCCAAACGGACCCCGTGACCAGACTTCTTCTGAGGGAACCACAGTTTTGCAGGCGTATGGTCGTAAAGTCTTGGACAGCGACGATGCGGAGACTGCTCGAACAAAGATCGAAAACGAAGTGAAACGGTTGTCCACGGCACAGTGGGTCTGTGAAAACCAATTCGACAGTAACCCGATGGGAGATTTGAGGGTTTGGCAACATCTGCCTGGTAGATCACACAGCTCAGAGGGTTGACGAGCAAGTTTGCTAACCGTCTCGAAGCCGTGAGAGATCACCCGCGGACAGGACAGACTGCATTTTTCAACAATGTAGTGTCTCGATTTCTAAATGCGCTTAACGCCGATACGTTGCAACCCCCTCATATCAACAAGGAGGGGCGGTATCAACCGCCGGCATTCGTAAGCTACATGCGGCCCCGCAATGACAACAAGGCTTTCCTAGTGGCTGACTTCCGAAGTACGGCAACAGCTCTGCAATTCGGAGGGAGTTTCTTGATTCGGCTGTTGAAATCATCAAGTGAGTTTAATGCCAGTGCCTGCTCTGTCGCTTTCCTCTAAATCAACATATAGGGAGACGAGAGCTCTAGTCTCGTGGGAAGAAGGCAATGTGTTGCTTTCAGATGTGAGTTAAAGTGAGCCGCCGTCGGTGAAAGAAAATGCTGATATGCGATTAGAATCATGCCGTGCAGCATGCCAGAGAACCCTGGACAGGGTAAGTGGCCTTGGAGATCGACCTCAAGTGCCAGTGATTGATGAAAAACCAGGAATCGGAGATTGCTTGCTAGTCTGTGGGACGAACCAGTTGGATAGGTGCTTTGAGTAGAGTATGCCGACAACGTGCAACAAATGGCAAGAAGAGTCTATGCCGGCCGATACCAGAAATCAGTATCCCATATGGAGAGTTCTGGAGAGTTTAACAAACACAAAGGTGCACGGAAGATATATATAGGTATTAAAACTTTTAGTAATGGGTGGCGTATGTACCTTCTTGAGTGGCTACTACTCAAGATGCTTGCCTATCCTACAACGACGTAGACAAAATAAACTCCAGGACGGGTGTACAGGGACAAAGTAAAATACCGAATGGCCGCATTGTGGAAATCCCAAGACGAAGGAAGGAAAAGCTTCTCTGCATCGTTCGTTGGTGACTAATAATGTTCTTAAAGAACATTGCTCTCACAAGAAACGACGAGTCCAAACTGGGGAACTCCAGTTAACACATATACCAAGATGTACTTCTCTGCAACAACGACTTACGAGATCGAGAGCGCAGCATTTCGGGTACTTTTTGCCAGTGACCAGGCAGGAGGCCTCGAAGCCAGCAATAGTTAAGGGTGCAGTAGAGGCTGTGGTCGCCGTTTAGCCGAGGACCTGGGGGCTCACGCAACGTACAAAGCGTTGGTCTTGGAAACTTACGAGCGACACACTCCAGGGAGGTGGTATCATTGCCCTTGGAACCGCAGCAAAGCGCGGTGCTCAGCTTGCATAGGGTAGGAACGATAGACGCGTCCTCTTGGGCATCGCAGGCCTCCTTGTTCAGCTCATCAGTGGTGCTTTCCACGCTCGTGGGGGCGGCGATCGCAACGGAAGCAAAAAGAGCGAGAAGGTAGGTTGTGGGCTTCATCGTAACGATACTGGGAGATCGGATTCGGTTGATAAAGATTGTGGTGGATGGGGGGGTGAGCTGTTGTAATGGAGATAGACACTCTTTTCAGCTTCGGAAAGGGAAATCGGTTGAATTTATGCCCATGATTCTACTATGCTGAAGTCAAAGTTGGCTTTTGATTGTTGAGAACAGCGACGTCAGTGCCAGTATCCTAGGCTTTAGAATGCCGGGACAAGACATGGTTTTACACAAGGGCAAGCCAGCCCGTCATCTTTTACGCCTTAACTAGTTTTCACCGCGTGGAGCCCGCCAACACATCCTCGTAAACGTCTATTGATTCACGCCAATTAGTCGACGGAATCGTCGGTAAAATACCCTTGACACATCTGTCGCCGTTGGCGGGCGGCAAGTGGAGGCTGATGAATGTCTCGGGCTCACCAAAGTCATTCCTAACGGTCCTACTTGCAAGACAGTCTCAGGATTTCGACTGCCATAGGGGTCGTTGGCTTTCCTATCACCCGCCAAGTCGGAGCAACAAGCAGTTCCTTGACAGCAATGGCGTTTGCAAAATTTCCCGAGCGCTGATGAGTCCCGCGACCAATATCGATGGGGTTGATCCATTCGAATGTTAGTCAATCCGGCTAGTGACGGATCTGCAGCACCATCAATGGGCACAACCTTAGTGTCTCAGTCCTAGCCACATTGGCTTTGATGCCAAGCCTACCGATACGAGGGTCCCTCGCCTGCAGACCATACAATATCACAGTGCTGCGCAACTTCATTCTCGGCTGTGGTCAAATTGCCCCTTTCGCTTGTTCTTGCTTTGGCTCGCCTCCTAATTGAAGGCGCTTGACTGAGGTAGGGGAATGACACGGCCATTCTCGAGAAAGCCAAGGTGTCCAGTATTGTTTTTATTTCTGATCTGCCCATTATTGTTTTGTTGCCTGGCTGGTAGACTCGGCCAGATAGCGAGTTGTGCCGTTCGCCAAGAACGACTGCCGAGCCGCATTAGCCGCAATCAAAGCGGCAGAGCGGTTCGGGAACTCGGGCCATCCACCGGGACAAACGCGACCAATGCGCCGTGGAAAAAAGGCTAGTAAGGAGGTGTCCGAAGTTTCCCCCAAGACCTCAAGACCAACAGCGGCTGGAAAAGGTTGTCGTGAGTGGTTCCTAGCTCAACTTACTAATTAGACTAGCCTCTGCGAACGCAGGTTAGAAGCGGAGTCAGTAGAAAACAAGTCAAGTATACCTCGCTCAGCATCCTTCACGCTGCAGCCAGGATTGACCTACCTCTGCTTGAAGTCAATTCAATCTTGTTATAGTCTGGTCAAACACAGGAGAGTACCTTCGCAATCACAGTTGAAGCGGAAAAGGCATTGAATGTGTGGGTAAGGTAATGATTATAAATCCTATCTTCTTTCAAAACAATTCACCCGGTCCCTAATTCCCTACCGGCTTCTCAACAAGCACTCGCGACAGTGAAGTACTGAGTAGCCAACCAATTCTGAATCGCTGACTAGAGCAGTCTAATCGGATATCGGGATCTAGTGTCAGCCCTATAACCCCATGTTTAAACGACTTGGATCACTCTCCAGCCCGCCCCGAAGCTCTTGGGGCTCTTCAACGTCCCAGTTCATACGTCCCAAACGCGCGCTCAAGAAGCCAGCCTCGCTGCTCAGCGTCCTCACGATAAAGTCCCATGGCAGCGCAATATTGTCGTAAAGCAACCCCAGCTTCTCCAACGACCGCCACCCTTCTCCGGCGTGGCGGTGCCTCAGATGAGACCCGCGGGCGTACCTGGATCACGAAGAAGTCGGAGTTCTCCCTGTGGAAGTGCTCGAACTTCTTGATCGCGGCGATATTTGACGCGTGGTAGGCGGAATAGCCCAGCAGGTGAGGTAAGTGGATCGCGGCGGTGGAGGTATGCACGACGGAGGTAGGGCCGCGGCGGTTGCACTGGCGTCCATGAGGTCGGCCGCGTGCAAGTGGACTCTGGTCTCCGGGTTCAGAGACTCAATGGCGGACATGGTGTCCTCGAGAGACTTGGATGAGCCTCCCAAGATTCTCAGGCTCAAGATGCCCGATTTTGTGAAGGACTACGCGATCGAGGGCGGATACATGAACCGCCATCCGAGACGAAGGTATGCTTTCCTTTGGTTGACAGTTTAGTGCGAGGCGGGGAGATATCTTCATACATCTTTATGCGGTAGGTTCTGGTTGGAGAAGGGAGCGACATAGCCGTTGTGGGAAGCGATTTCTATGCCCGTAGTAGGGATTGTTTGGGAACGCTAGAGCTGATACTATAAAACCCCCAAGGCGAGACATTGTACCTTGTAGCACTTTTATATGCCATCTTCATGGAAACAGGTCGCGTCCACAAAAAGCAAAATCTGTTACGACGTAGTCGCCCGCGCATTGTTCAGTTATCCGTTCATCAAGACAACTTTTACAGGCTCAGACGGGATTTGGAACCTGTCCGCCGGTGCCCACCGCCGAACTCCCCCGAACTTCCGGATAACGTTATGGGTGGGGCTCCGGCAGTTGTCCGTCAGCTAGTGCTTACTTAATTGACAGTGAGAGCACAGTTATTAAACTGTATATGCACCTCTTCCACGTCGAAGCTGATTAATTCAATATTCCTCGCCAACATAAAGGGGGTCGCTCTGATTATCCTTCATGTAACAACGTTGACACGGCGAGTCTCTTTAGCGCATCCCAAATGACATAATGGGGCCGCCCTCAGCAACGGAGATGAGTGCGGCCGACGCTGAGGTGAGCTTTATAATATGCATAAGTGTGTCCAAGGAGACGTGATTGCTAACTGCCCAACACAAGGCTCGACGACGTGCGCGAGGTGTCATTGCCCAGCGGGAGTACCGCAAGCGCCACGCAACCAAGATCCAGACGCTCCAGGACGAGAACCAGAAGCTCAAAGACGCCATCGTCGAGATCCACAGGGCATCTCTAGGGTGTTACGCCATCACCGACCGTCTCAGCGCTGCGCTCTCCAAGGCCCGAGAGCTGGCTGACATCAGCGATGCGCCCGTTGCTGCTGACGGCGACATGGAATTCGACGGTGCTGGGCAAATTGCCCATTCATCGCCCGCGCAGTCTGCCCAACTCAACCCGTCACTGCCGGCTGCCCACATGCCGGCCGAGTTGGGGTGTTCGCCCAATGATGAACCGCGAGGCGGGAAGCTGAGCCCGCGCCTCGACAACGGCCTCTGGCTCGACACGGAGCGTTTGGTCCGCATCTTGGAACCATCAGCAGACACAATGCAATATATCAGCGGGGACACGTACACCATGGCGGGCTACATATTCTGGTCCACCGTGGACTACACCGTCGACCTCTGGAACGCCCAGTCTGCCCCGCAGGCCACCAAGCAACTGGACCGTATCTTCAACCCCTCAAGACCCCTGACCGACCGGAAGTACCTCGTGTCCCTGACCCAGGCGAGGCTGGACTTCAGGCGCAAGGGGCACATGTTCCGCACGCTGTCAGAGCAGTTTGAGCGGATCGCCATGGCGGACCTGTACAAGCGCGTCCTGCACGACTACGAGACCACGGGCGCGCAGCCGCGGTACTGGAAGACGCCAGCTGAGGTGGCAGAGAACCTGCTGAGCCAGCTGACGCCGGACGAGGCCGCGCGGTTCCAGGCCGTACTCGAGGGTGGGGGCACACGCGCCGACAAGGAGATGTTGCGCGCCATGGCCGCCTGGTTCGTTCAGAACTTTGTCTGCTTCGGGGACGGCCCGCGATGGAGCAACATCGGCGTCTCCGTCGCCCTCGGGAGCTGGATCGGGTCGCTGAGGATGGGCTCCCCGGATGCACGAGAAGCGTCCCCGCTTTCGACCGAGACGCCGTCTTGATCACGACCAGGTCGCAAGCTCCTTCCCTCCATGGCACGACGCGTCCCCCCTACTCTACAACTGCATCCGCCGGGCGCGCTGGGCCAAATCACCGTGCCACGCGGGATCATCAAACCTCTCGGCATTTCCTGACAACGAATACGGCGAGGCAACATGGGTGGCGATTCCCCGACACAGGTGCCCTCTGCCCGACGACCAGGCCTCCGGGACGCCGTCGTCGACAAGCGCCTCGCAGACCATAAACGCCTGCCTGCCGTCGAGCCACGATTCCTCCGCCAAGGCCCCGTCCCACGGCCGCTCCCAGTCACCGGCGTAGAAGACGGCCTTGGTCAGTTCGGCGCCCACTTTCTTCTCCCGGAGGAACTCGAACAGCGTGGAGGCGCCGGGGCGGTCGAGCAGCGGCTGCGCCATGGAGTCGAGGCCCCCGCACGGCTCCGGCTCGTCCTCTCTCCACCGCGGACCGGAGTATCCGGGGGAGCTGTCGAGCTGCCGCCGGCACTCGCTCGCGATCTCGAGGAAGACGGTGACGTTGACGACCTTGGGGAAGTTCGTCGCCAGCGCCCCGAGGTGCTCCATCGGCCACGTCCCGTTTCGGTTGACGTCGAGCGTCAGCCTCTCGAGGTTGGGCACCATACGGCCCAGCTCGGCGAGCTCTCCCGGCGCCATGACCATCCGCTGCCGATAGTTGCTCTCCGGCTCCCGCCACTCAAGGCTCGTCAGAGACTGCGCGTGCCGGCGAAGGATGGGTAGCACGGAGGCGCCCGTCTCGTCGCTCGAATGCCACGTCAGAGACGTCAACGAGTTCTCCGGCAGGGCCAGGATGAGGTCCCTGGCCCACGGGCCGCCGCCCCTGATGGTCAACGACCGGAGTGACTTGAGCTGCGAAGCGAGGGCGCGCAGGTCCGGCGATCGACGCCACATGCCTTTCAGGGAAAGCTCTCTGACGTGCGAAAAGTCCATGGCGTCGAGCCAGAGGTCGAGGTTCGTCTTGGCCTTCTGCTCCGGCGACAGCGGAAGCCACCGCAGCCAGTCGCGGACCCGGCCCGAGCCGAGCCACTCGAGAGCGTCCCAGAACCGCGAGCCGGTGGACCAGGGCGGCTGCGACGCCTCCGCCCAGGCCGAGTCGTCGAAGTGGTAGCCCTCGAGGTCCAGTACCTCCAGCACCGACGGGTAGCGCGAAGAGCCGGCGAGGTCAAAGGGGAAGCTCCAGCGGTCGGGGTGGTCGGAGCAACCCAGCGCCGTGATGCGGAGCTTCAGGCTTTTGACGTCGGGGCAGCGGGAGAGGGTATCGTGGACGTCGCGCATGGTCGCGAGGAACGGGTCGCCGGGCTCGCGGCGCCCGTAGTGCCCATCCTGGCCTGACGGCACGACGGTCTCGATGTAGGTCGGACAGCGGGACTCGAGGGCGGAGGCCGAGACGGTACAGAGGAGGAGAGAGAAGAGAAGGACGTTTCGGAGGGTGCAGTGCATCTTGGCGGTGGTATATTCTGTTTGATGTGTCCTAAATCTCGAGTTCGCTCAAGAGGCGCCAGCTATTTGCAAAGGATAGGGCAGTTCTTTGTTTTAGGACAAAGTCGTAAAGGTTATAACGCAGATTACCGTCGACTTATACACCGTGGCGGAGAGGCCACGAATGTCTTTGGCGCGCCGAAGCGCGGTCGGACACCTGGCCAGAATCCTTCTACGCCTCTTAGCTTTAGGCAGCCGTTTGTTGCATCGTGCCAATAGAATTCTCGGCAACTGGCCATGACTCTAGATGGTAGACACCAAAGCCGGATGATCTTCTTCTCATGAACATGGCCAAATACATAACAGTCGGCATGTCCACGTGGAACAGGTCTTGGGCGGGACGACGGTGGGGTCAGCGGCGGTGAGATCTCGTGAGACTCGCTCGCCCCTTTTCCCCATCGGTGATGCATCTTTGTTTTATAGATAGAGTAGTTAAGAGTCGAGAATCACCATGTCCAATCGCACTGACGTCTAACTCATTCTCGATTCTTTCAATTCTGTTGCGCAAGACAATGCGACCCTGGACCGTCTTCGGAAGGCTTCGGCTCTGCAGCCGCTCATTTAACTTTAAAAATACAACTGAGTCGGAACGGCCGGCACATCCGACGCTCTCCAGGACGCGATATACCGTGCGCCGCGACGGATCGTAATCTCAATGTCCTTTCATCTCATATGACTGGACGCATATCGAGCAATCTGATCAAGTACATATAAAACCCACGCCAGAAATCCCCTCTCTAGACAACCTTCCCTGCGGGACCGGCGATGAAGGTCCTCATCGCGACGATGCCCTTCGCGGGGCACATCCACCCGGCACAGCCCATCGCCCGCGCCCTCGTCCGCCGCGGCCACGCCGTCGCCTGGCTCACGTCGGCCTCGCACGAACACCTCGTCACCCCGACCGGCGCCACGTTCGTCGCATCGCCGCCGGCCCTCGCGCGCCACGACGAGACGCCGCTCGCGCCGGAGCCGGGCACCTCGGGGCTCGCCGCCGTCGTCTCCACCCTCCGCCAGCTCTTCCTGGACCGCGTGCCGGACCAGGTCGCCGCCTACCGCGCCGCTATCGAGGAGTTCGGCGCCGACGTCCTGCTGGTCGACCTGACCGCCTACGGCGCGCACTGTCTGCGCGACCTCGGCGGCCCGCCGTACGCGACCCTCGGCATCAACCCGCTCGTCACGCTCGACGCCGAGGTCCCGCCCTGGGGCACCGGGTGGTCGCCGCCCAAGACGCCCTTCGGCCGCTGGGTCAACGCGCTGGCGCACGCGGCCGCGGGCCGGCTGCTCTACCCGAGGCTCACGGCCCCCCTCAACGAGCAGAGGGCGGTGCTCGGCCTGCCGCCGCTGCCGGCGACGGGCTTCTTCGACGCGACGAGGTCGGACGCGCTGCACCTCATGCCCACGACGCCGGCCTTCGAGTTCCCGAGGAAAAACCTGCACCCGGCCGTCACCTTCGTCGGGCCGCTGCTCCCGCTGTTCGGCGACGACGACGACGAGGAGACCGCCCTGCCCGCGTGGTGGGGTGAGATGCTCGCGCACCCGCGGGACAAGGTCGTCCACGTGACGCAGGGGACGTACGCGACCAACGCGGCGAACCTCATCTCGCCGACGCTGTCGGCTCTCCGGGGCCGCGCGGACCTGCTCGTCATCGCGACGACCCCGGACGCGGAGACGGTGTTTCCGGCCGGAACGCTGCCGGACAACGCGCGGGTGGCGGACTTTGTCCCGCACGCCAAGCTCCTGCCCCACGTCGGCGTCATGGTCACCAACGCTGGCTACAACGGCGTGCTCGCGGCGCTGAGCTGCGGCGTGCCGATGGTATGCGCGGGCCGCACCGAGGACAAGGCCGACGTCAGCGCGCGGGTCGCGTGGAGCGGGGCCGGCATCGATCTCGGGACGAACACGCCGGGCGAGAAGGCGCTGGGGGCCGCGGTCCAGCGCGTCGTGTCGGACCCCAGGTACCGGAGGGCGGCCGAGAGGATCCGCGACGATTTCGCCGCGCACAACGGGCCCGAGGAGGCGGCCGACCACCTGGAGAGGCTTGCGGGGCCGGGCCGTAGATGATGGTGCTGGAGATGAGGGCCGAGACGTGAGGAGAAGACGGAGGAGAACCGCCATTTCCGCCTCGAAGCCGAGAGTCACTGCGACCTCGTGGCGTCGAGGACCGGCAAGGGGAGGCTTGGCCATGCGTGTGGGGAAATACGTCACTCCGACGGAATTCACTGTTCGCATTCGGGAGAAGAGGGAGGGGGGGGCTTGGCTCCGTGTAGATGTATGCATGTATGTATGCTAGGGTTTTCCATTGTCCAGCGAGGTATCATTTTCCTATCAAAATTCCAGACTACTCTATGCTCCCAAAATAAAGAAAAACACCAGGCACGCCATGAATGCGCCGATGCAAAGCCATGTTTCGTACTGAATGCGGTTGCGCGCTCTTGTGCAGCTGATGGACCACCAGCTTAGAAGCTCTTGACCTTCTGCATGCTGCCCTCCTCTACGAGAGCCTTGTGCATGTCAAAGGTGTTGAAGAGCAAGTGAGGCTCGTGACCCATGCCCTTGCGGAGGCACTCGAACTCGGCCTTGTCAAGGTAGCGCTCCAGTATGGGCCGGTAGATGGGGTGGGCGCAGTTCTTGATGATGACGCGAGCGCGCTCGCGGGGGCTCAGGCCGCGGACGTCGGCGAGGCCGTTCTCGGTGACGACAACGTCCAAGTCATGCTCAGTCTGATCGATGTGGGTGCACATGGGGACGATTGTGCTGACTCCATGGGGGTCCGTCTTGGAGGGGCGGGTGGAGGGAGTGTGCATGATGCTGTACTTTGCGTTGCGGAGGAAATCGGCGCTGCCGCCGAGGCCGTTGAGCATGCGGGAGCCCAAGACGCAGGTGCTGTTGGCGTGGGCGTAGATGTCGACCTCGACGGGGGTGTTCATGCCGATGACGCCGAGGCGGCGGATGATCTCGGGGGAGTTGGAGACGCTCTGGCTGCGGAGGAGCAGCTTGTTGTGATAGCTGTCCCAGTTGTCGTAGAAGCGCTGGAAGCCGTCGGGGGAGAAGCGGACCGAGGTGGCGGTGGCGAAGTCGAGATGGCCCGAGTCGAAGAGGTCGAGGAAGGTGTCCTGGATGACCTCGGTCCAGACCTTGAGGTTCCAGAAGTTGGAGTCCTTGAGGCCGCCGACGACGGCGTTGGCGATGTTGCCGATGCCGGACTGCAGGGGGAGAAGGCTCTTTGGCAGGCGGCCGTGGGTGACCTCGTGCTCGAAGAACTCGATGAGATGGCTGGCAATGGCACGCGAGGAGGCGTCGGCCGGGGTGTTGGGGGCGGTCTGGTCGGGGTAGTCGGACTCGATGATACCGACGACCTTTTCCGTGTCGATGGGGATGGAGGTGCGGCCGATGCGGTCCTCAACGCCCATGATGAGGTAGGGCTTGCGGTGTGGGGGCCGGTCGGTCATGGTGATGTCGTGCAGGCCGTCGAAGCTCGGCAGCGCGGTGTTGACCTCGATGATGATCTTGTCGGCCATCTGCACCAACTCGGGGGTGGCGCCGACGGAGGCGCCGGGGACGATGCTGCCATCCTCCTTGATGTCGGTGGCCTCGACGACGACGACGTCGAGGTTCTTGTTGGGGCGTTCCTTTGTGTAGAAGCCGTAGACGAGGTCGACGGGGAACTGGGACAGATGCCTGTCGTGGAAGTGGATGCGGCCCTCATTGATACCCTTGGAGATGGCCTTGCCAACCTGGTGAGGGCTTCGTCGCTCAATCATGTTGAGGCCAGCCCAACGGTTCTCCGTCTCGGCACCGGAGGAGGCACCGACGAAGAGGCTGTAGCGCAGCTGGCCCTGGAGGCTGTTCTGCTCGACGTGGTCGGCGAGGAAGGTGGGAATCTTCTTGGGGTAGCCGACGCCGGTGAAGCCGGACCAGCCGATGTAGGCGCCGTTGGGGAAGTGTTGGAGGAGGTCTTGGGGACGGGAGAGCTTGTTCAGCAACGATGCGCGTTTGACGCGAGACCGCAGGGCGGCCGAGGCGACGGGAGACGCCATTGTGAGACGATGTGAGGTTATGTTTTTGGTGGTGAGAGTCGAGAAGCAAATGCGAAGCAGAGACGACCAGACGGCGGCAGGACGGAGAAAAGAGAGAGAGGAGAGGGAGAGGAGGAGTTTTACAAGAGGGTCGAAGAAGCCCCGTGGAGACGAAGAGAGGGGAGATGGGATGACAAGCTTAGCCAAAGGACTGGTCAAGGGGTAGAAGGGCGAGAGGAATAACAATACTGTTAGGGCAGAAAGTTGGTGCCAAGGTGTAGATATACATATATATATATATATATATATATATATATATATATACCTCTATGTGTATAGTGTCAACTACTCATGTCCAGGAAGGAAAGAGGGAAGAAATAAAAACGCCAGCCGTTGGTTGGTTGGTTCCCTATTTTTCTTCAGGTGAGAGATATGAGAGGCGACACGAAGATCAGATCAGGTCACTTTCATGGAGCCCCTCGGTGGGGAATGACGCAGGCCTGGCAGGGGGGAAGCTTCTTATGATATAGCTGCGAGCGTTCTTTTTGTGAGGTGCACACGCTCCTCTGATACATTATGTCAGCACGTGCGCTGGTCTGATTGGCTCAACGGGGCAACGGCTCGGTAACAGTCGGTAACATGCCGTCCCGTAGCCACTGAATGTGCCTATTTACAGTGTGGGAATAATCTTGGCTACAAGCGATTGACCAATGATGGGGCTGGAAAGTGACGCCAAAAGACAGGACTCAGAGCTGGGCTCAGGATTCATTCGGTCACGTTGTTGGTACCTCAGGTTTGTTTGTGCCTTGGTTATCTATTCAAATTCATTCATTCATCAACATCAACAATTGTTTGAACCAACATCAACAATTTGCAAAGCCGCCAACGTTGGAATTTGCCCACCAACCTTTGTTTGCATCCCATATCGTGGACCTCGAAACAGTCCGCCCCCCACCGTCCAAGCATCGCATCAGGGGGGGCTCCCCGTGCAACAATGAACAGGGGGGCCTCAACAAACCAGAACTTCCGTACATGCGAGCCATTCTTTCGGCACAGCTCGGCCGGACGAATCTCGGCTTTGCTTCCTCGACGCCTCTGTCTCTTCTCTCCTCAAGCACACTCACTACACTACCCTCGCGCTCGCGCGCCGGGACCCACTTCTTCCCGGACCATCTCCGCATGCCTTGGACCAGTGTCCGTCCATGCACACAAACCCAGACATCTGTTTGGTTTCATACGCTTTGCTGACAATATATCATCGCACAGTGGCTCGGGAATGACTTCAAACTCTTCCGGGATATCGATAAAATGTTTCTGATACATCATCTCCCTTTCTACTCCGGAATCTTGGCCTCCTCCGCAGGGACCCCCGCCTTCCATCGGTATGTCGCCGCCACGTGCTGGTCCAGTGGGCCCGTCTGCCCTTTCTTGCGGTAAAAGTTCTCTCTGTACGTGCCGCCGGGGACGGCGTAGTCGTCCCAGAACAGACCCCGCCGCCGCAGCTCGGGCAGTAGCAGGTCAATGATGTCCTTAAACGACTGCGGGAAGAGGGCGTATGCCTGTGCTCAAAAGTCAGCCTGCGTTATCTCGACACCTTTCGTCCGTCCACGAGGAAGCAAGAAGGAAAGGGGGGGGAGAGAAAAAGGGAACGCAGCATCTCCACTTACAAAGTTGAAGCCGTCGACGTCGGCCTCCTTGATCCACACCTCGAGCCCGTCAGCCACCTGTGCTGCCGTTCCGACCAGGACGGGTCCGTTGCCACCGATGCTAACGTGCTCCGCGATCGTGTGCTTCGTCCATTTGGCCGTGCCCGGAGAGAACCGCGCGTAGCCCTCCACCGTCGACTTGACCGCGTTGCTCTCCACCTGCCGCAGCTCCTCTTCGTCGCCGTACTTGCTCAGGTCGATGCCCGTCCACCCGCCAAAGAGCGCAAGCGCGCCCTCGTGCGACGCGTACTGCCGGTAGCCCGCCAGCTTCTGTTGCGCCTCCTCCTCCGTCGCCCCCAGCACCGGCGTCACGAGCGCGAGCACCTTGATGTCATGGCCGGACCGCCCATACTCGGCTTGCGCGAGTGCCCGGATCTCGGCCACGTTCTTGGCGCAAACGGCCGGTGCGTGCGCCGACACGAAGATGGCCTCGGCGTGCTGCGCCGCGAACTGCTTGCCCGCCTTAGATGCCCCCGCCTGCAGGAGGAGCGGCGTGCGCTGCGGGCTGGGCTGTACGATGTGCGGGCCCGGCACGCTGAAGAAACGGCCCTTATGGTTGATCTTGCGGACCAGCTCGGGCTGCGTGTAGACGCCCGACTCGCGGTCGAGCTTGACGGCGTCGTCGCGCCACGAGGACTCGAAAAGCTTGTACATAACCTTGATGTACTCCTCGGCCTGCGCGTACCTGTCGTCGTGCTGCGCTCGTTAGCAGCTGGACCCGCGGTCCGCTGGGCCGGTCGAGGGAAACTCACCTGGGGCTGTTGGGTGAGGCCCATATTCTTCGCCGCCGAATCCAGGTAGCTGGTAACGATCTGCACCACGTTAGCCGTGCCATCTACTTCACTCGGTCTTGGTCACCAACATTCCATCCCAAGCTGTAACAGTGTCAGTTTAAAGAGCACCGTCGGATGGGGAAGGTGACGAGGACACGTACCGGCCACCGCTGAGATGGTCGACCGTCGACAACCGTCTCGCCAAGTGGTAAGGCTGCTCATATGTCGTCGAAACCGTCACGCCGAAGCCGATGCTCTTGGTTACGGCGGCCATGGCAGCGACGGGCGCCAATGGCTCGTTAACGGGCCATTGGGCCCCCGAGATCATGGCGGGGTCGAGAGATTGCGAGTACACGTCGTAGCCACCTGTTTTCGCACGTCAGTAACGCCATCAGAGGGGGCGTGGGGAGTCTCGGGCAATTGTCCTACCGAGAACATCGGCTATGAAGATTCCGTGGAACTTAGCCTCCTCGAGCAGCTTCGCGAGCTCAACCCAATGACTGATCTCGTTGAAGCGCCATGACTGGTCGTCGGGGTGTCTCCAGAGCCCAGGAGACTGGTGTCCGCTGCCTACATCGCGGCTGTCAGCTGCGGCCTGTCGTCCACTTTGCTCGGCGAGGGAAGACGCGGGGCTTCTTACACATCTCCACAAAGGCATTGAGCACGAGGCTCTTCTTCGGCTTGCTTCCCGTTGTCTCGGCCATGTCTGCTTTGGTGTGTTAGTTCTGGTTATGCTTGTATTCTAAATGCACGCTCTGCTTCCCTCCTGTAATGTTCTGGGAGAATATGAGGGTTCTGGTCACAGCAGAAGCTCCCAGACAAGAAAAAGATTTTGAGCTGTCCTGTCCTCGGCGGCCGCGGGGTAACAATAGGGCTTGGAGGCGTGCGCGTCGGAACCTGGCATGGCGTGACGCAGTTTGGAGACTTCCCACGGTCTGGTCTGGCCTGGCGAGTTACCCCAAAATGCCCCCCCACTCCCGATGTTCGGCGTGGGTCCGGTACCGTGGAGCCGGGGTGATGATGCCACCGGACGGCTCGGTGGCGCAAGACGCACGACGACACACGATGGGCAAACTACGGACCCCGCGCCAAATGCTGCCAAGCTGCCAGGGAAGCTCCTGCACGCAAGCCTCGCATAACCCCCCTCAGAGCCCCCATCCCTACTTATCTCCAGCTAATGACACCTCGGGCTGTTAAGCTACAAAGTTTCACAGCTACCTTGAGAGAAAAAGGACGCCAACGATCCCGGTCGGCAACTGCGTGGACTGGAGCCCAGAGGTTAACGTGAGGCCATCACGTCATGTTAGTTCCGATGAGATGGCCCGGCCGGAGACTCGCGGGTCTATCTTTGCCGCACGCTGATGGACCGGCGCTACCCACCCCTGACAGATCGTGCGATTACTCTGCGAATCAGTGCGGGCACCTGTGACGAAGTGATGTTGCGGGTTCGATTCGCCAATTGCAAGCCGATGAATTACAATTGTCCCGATAACACTCGCGATGAGCATCTTAGTGACGCGTCAATCTGTCAGGGTTTAGCTCTTGAAGGAGGAATGCCATTTGATGAAGGTTTAGACCCAATTAATTCATTCAATCAAACAGGCTGCCTCTACGGCAGAATAGAACACCATTGTCTCGACTATCCGTACCCGCCCGCCGAAATCCTTTACCAAATCCCGGCATCTTGGTTACGTTTTTTATCCGAGTGTGTCACCCACGCCTAGTGCTGTTTGGTATCCAACTCGCCGTCTTCGCTCGACAACACAGCATCGACCTCCCGCACCTCCTCGACGTGCGCCTTCAACCCGGAGCCGAAGTGCCTCAACACAAGCCACGCGGGCCCAATGGCCACGGCCCACAACGCAAAATTGAAGTAGATACCGCCAACCTCGCCGAATATCGTGAGGGACGTGAGCCCGTAGCTGACGGCCTGCCACGCTGATTCCACGCCACGGAGGAGGGCAGCGTAGCGGATGACTTCCTCTTCGCCCTTGGCCAGGTTCGTGACGATGAAGTATCTTGTTTTCGTTAGCGTGGTGGTCCACCAGATGCAGATGCAGGCAATGACTAGGGGCTGGGGGGGGGGGGGGGGGGGGGGGGGGGGGGAGAGTGACATACAGGAAGAGGTAGTTGAGCTGGAACCCTATCGTAAGGAGTATGTAGACGGCGAAGGCAGCGCCGAAGCCCGGGCTGGCCCAGTCGTGCGTCGGGCGCGTCTCACGGAAGCGCGTCGCGAGGATGGTGATCCAGAGCCACCAGGCGCCCTGTGTGACGACGAGGCCCCAAAAGGTAGACCGGGTGCGCGTCTTAAGCGAGACCTTGGCACGGTCGAGCCAGTGCTGTGGTGGGAGTCAGTCTCTTGTACGGGTCTTCACTCAATATCTTTCCGGATGTAACTCACGCCGAGGAGATTGCCCGAAATCACGGCGACGACACCGGACAGGAAGGAGCCCAGGGCCCTGGATCGAACAGAAAACCATGCTGCACAATCGCGCGTCAGTACTGTGCCTCCCTCCGCAAGTGAGAGCGGGCTCGGCGTGACTTACTCGCAAGGTAGGTGAAGAAGACCGCCTCGGCGAAGACGGCCTGGCCGATCCAAAGGACGATGAGGAGGAACTTTGGCGTGAACAGGTTCCGCGTCGTGGCCTTGATTTCGTGCCACGGGTTCTCGAGGATGGCCAGGCTGACCTTTCGCCCATCCTGCCGCTCGACCTGGTCCGGCTTGTTGAGGAACAAGCCGACGAACGGGCCCGCCGCCTGGATGGCGATGAAGACGATGAAGACGGTGTACGAAACCTTGCCGGCCTGGTCGTTGCTCGAGTTGAGGCCGAGATTGATGGCGCCGCCGAGGATTTGGCCGCACAGGCGGTAGGTGAGCCAGTAGCCCAACGCCTTGCCGCGGTTCCAGGGCTCGGGGTACGCGATGGCGATGGCGGCCTCGGCCATCCAGAAGACGCCGGCCGAGATGCCGCAGAGGGCGGCGCCGAGGAGCATGAGCCAGTCGATGCCGTAGCGGTTATTGGTGTACAGGCCGGCGGCGAAGGGGGCGTATCCGATACTGTTGGTGAGAGGTATCGCACGTCAGCACACGAAATCCATTCTCGAACCGCGCGCCGCGGGTCGGGTAAGAATGCTCACGTTCCAAAGATCAAGGCGCCCTTGATCCCGATGTAGTGGACGATCGCCGAGGAGAAGTAGCACGACACGACCATGAGGCAGAACGTTAGGGCGTTGGCGGCGTTGACGACCTTGGGCGAGGCGGCACCGCCGGCGCCGAGGGAGTTCATCGCGCCCCAGATGCCGGGCGCCGCGAGGTTGCACAGACCGAGGATGGTCATGTTGTAGAACGTCGAGCGGTTCCAGTGCACTGCCAACGCTTCATGTCAGTCTTTCTTTTTCTCTCTTCTCCAGAGGCCGGAGAACGATGCAGCAGCGAACGGGGAGGGCTGGCTGACCTGGGTGACGCTCCAACTTGGGAGGGATGGCATGGCCCGCGTGGGCGTCGGCGTATTCTGCCATCTTGACTTGTCTGTTCCGTTGGGTACTTGGAGGACGAAGAGGTTGATGTCGGAGGACAACAGTTTAACTCAAAAAGACATTGACCGAGTCCTGAACAGCCGGGGCTCTATAACCACAACAGGAACCCTCCGTCTTATGCATCAGACCAGGCAAGCTCGCAAACTGGGTATGCAGGGATTGGGTGCCATCGTCGGGGCTTCTGTTAGAAAGACGCGATTGATGTGGCATCGCCATGTGCCGGAGCCGGGTGCAGGGTCCAGACGAACTCTTTTCCCTTTGCCCTCTCTTTTGGAACCATCCCAGTCCCATCTCATAGGCTACCACCAATTGTGCAATATCTCAGTGTTTGAAGCCAATATTGTCAGGCAGTTTGTAGAAATCCCTGTTTGGGGGGGGAAGGCTTGGTTGGGTGGGCAGCTCTCTTCGGTGTTGCGAGATCAACCGGGTTCAGCACGCCATTCCGCTGCCGAAGCACGAATGGCGCTGTGCTACTACGCACATCCGTCTACCCCTTTCCACCACCTCGGGTACCTAAGTAGCGAATATCGAAGGGAAAAGATGCGAAAGCTAGGAACAGAATTGGGCGGGCAGGCCTTTCTGGGACTATGCAGCCGTCTCGGCTGTCCCCAAGCAAAACGTGGGACGAACGCATGTGGCTTCGAGTTGGCTCAATGATCTGTATTAAATCATGGGCTCAGTAAGGTTATAATCGGGACGTTTCCACCAGTAAAGGTTTGATGTCGACGCCCGGTTTAAAGGATCCGGGTGGGATACGGCGACATCCGGAAGGCGACAAGGGCGAGACTCAGTTCATTCTGATAATTGGGACTAGGTATTGACTTACAAAATCTCGAAAGCCATGTGGTAGGATCAAGTGTTCCTTGAGGCGGTCCAAATGACAAGTTCAATGACAAAGACTCGATGCTATCGACAAGGCAAAGGTCCTCAATTATAGAAAATGAAGCCAACTTCTTTCCTCAATGTCGATGACCTCTCTCGGCCCAATGTCTCTATTCTCGGGTTACAGCCTCTATGGCACACTCCACCAGCTCTCATGAACATCCTTGGGATCGACACCGCCAGCCTTCAGATACGGTGTGACATCCGCCTCCGGATCCAATTCTTTCCTCGTGCAGCCTTTGCCAAAGTACCACAAGAAGGGGTTTTCCGAGTCCCCGACATACTCATACTCGAAGTCCTCCCACCTGGGTTCCCGCTGCACAATCGTCGCCAGCGTCGCCGACCCCGGCCACAAGCCGTGGATCCTCGACCCGGCCTTGCCGCTGTTGTACCACGAGCTGCAGTTCTCCGACAGCACCGTCGTCGCGAAGAAGGCGTCCGAGTACTGCGTGAAGTTGTCGGCCGCCCTCCTGGTGGGCTGGATGCTCTTGATGCCCTCGCGGCCCGCCTTGCGCAGGATCCGCGCAAAGTACGTGATCTGGTTCTCGACGTTGTGCGGGACCGTGCCGGAGCGGCCGCTGCCGTTGGGCCCGTGGATGAAGAGCAGGTTGGGGAAGCCCGGGGTGGCGGAGCCGAAGTAGGTGTAGGGCCCGTCGGGCTGCCAGACCTGCGCGAGGTCCCGGCCCCTGGCCGTGATGGGGAACGGCGGCGCCATGTCGACGTTGGCGCCCGTCGCGCAGAAGATGGCGTCGACCTCGCGGTGCCTGCCGTCCTCCGTCTCGATGCCGGTCTCGGTGAAGCGCCTGATCCGTGTCTGGATATAGTCCGTCTTCTCCGAGGTAATGGCCTCGAGGTAGCCCGGCCCGGGGGTCAGGCGGCGGCAGTGCGGCGAGAAGTCGGGAATAAGCGCGTCGATGAGCTCGGGCTTCTTGGTGAGCCGGTCGTTCATGAACTTGCGGAATGCCTCCCGCGCCTCGTCGTTCTCGCTCGACCCCTTGAGCCAGCTGCCGAAGTGGCGGAAGTACTTGCTCTCCTGCCCCTTGCGGTACTCGAGATATGCCTCCGGGTTTTTGCGGAAGGTCTCTCTGAGGTCTTCAGGAATGGGGATCGGCTCGATCGACGTCTCATCGCCGGCGAAAGACGCCGTGATCCACGTCTTGTTTCTTGCGTAGTGGTCCAGGTGCGAGACGACCTTGTGCAAGTTGGACGTGAGCTGGATGCCGCTGGCGCCGTTGCCAATCACGGCTACTTTCTTGTCTCTTGGGTCGAAGGTGGGATCCCAGTTCGAGGCATGCCTGAGCACGCCCTTGAAGTCTTTGATGCCGGGGTAATCCGGCAGCTTCCAGGCGTTGAAGCGTCCGATGGCTGTCAGGACGAATTCGGCTTCCTCGATCCGGATCACGTCCGTCTTGAGGTCGCGAATGGTGATCTGCCATATGGAGCGTGAATCGACCCAGTTCAGACCCTCGACGCGCTGCGAGAGCTGGAGGTACTTGTAGACGTCATATTTGCGCGCCAGGCCCTGCCAGTAGTTACGGATCTCGGCGCCCTGGGCGAATTCCTCTGTCCACTGGGTGTTTGGATCGAAGGTCGACTGGTAGACGTGAGCCGGTACGTCGCAGCGGACGCCGGGGTATATGTTCTCGAACCAAGTTCCGCCCTATATCCTTGATATCAGTCGTTGGGGGTATCTCATGTTTCTAGGGTCAAATCGGGTGCCTACCACGTCCGCGTTCTTTTCATAAACCGTGAGCTTGATGCCAGGGACCTTTGCTGGAAGGAGGATCCCCGCGAGGACTCCAGAGAGCCCTGCGCCAACGACGGCTACCCGTAGCTCTCGAGGCTCATCTATGTACCTGTTCACGAGCTTGATTGGGTATTCGTTGTAAATGGACTTTGGCGGCGTGAGAAGCGAGTCTACAGCTCGGTCGATGAGCGTCTGCTGGTCAAGGCCGCGTTTGGTGGGTGTCTCGAGTGCAACTCCGTTTTCACTGCTGCTGCTTTCTCCCAGTGCCTCGCTAGTCGCCGGCGACGATGCTGTCTCAATGTGGTCACCCATTGTGGAAAATTTATTACGGTTACTTGTAACTTCAAAAACTAGGTTCCGAAGCCCGATGGTTCTCGGATGGCTTCAAACCCAGCTCGACAACAGGCGAGATGGGAAACCTCCATTTTGTCCAACGACTACTCTTCCTCTCGCAGGACCGGGCATCGGAATCACGTCAGAGACGTGCTCGAACGCGTTACACACCGGAGGAGGGGTCGTTCTGAGCTCTCGAGCTTGCTTCAACCCGGGACCACCTCGTCGGTCGCAAGCATCCTATCAGAGACAAGATATTGTTATCTTGAGCAACAGCTTGACACTCGGGAAAGCTACCCACCCCACCAGAAGCTTTCCTCCCGATCCCCGCTGCTGATGGTGTGGGTGATCCTACGCTGTGGCTGTTGTTGGAGGTGAGGTGCGTGGGATATGGGGAGCACGCCATCTCCCCACTCTCTTGGGGAATACCCAGGGACGCTTAACCCCCAATCTGCAGTCCCGTCTGTCCTCAGATCGTAGCTCCAATACCACACACATCCGGGGCCCGGTTTCCGCGAGGGGTTTCAGCTTGCCTGCTTTTCTCTTTAAATCTGCAGTATGTAGGCTTGTCTCCAATTCTGCACGGTGATGGAGAGAGCCATGGGTGATGCCAGCCGGTGGCGTCGGCAGGGATGCCCGGGTCAAGTGGTCTATCGAAACAAAAAGGCGCGGCACCGTTCCTCTTTACATTTGATTGACTATCACATCAATGAGCTCTGAAATGGTGCAATGGCTTATCCTCCGCCTTCCTGCATTACTGCAACGTCTTGCAGCGTCCTGCCACTCGCGGGCCGGGGTTGGCGACGCCATTCCGCGGTAGCCTCCGATATTTCGCCTTCAGGAACGTCAAAGCCAAGTTCCGCTCTCCGGTTTTAAACGAAAACCATGCTTAGGCCTATATTCAAGGCTCTGGAAAATGTTCCGTAGGTCGTTTGACATGGGATGGGAATAATTTGATCGTAAGGGTTAGGATGGGAGACCGGTACTAAAACTTGAAGAATCCTTTGACCCTACGCTTTTTGGCCATGATATTGAACCGCCGTGCACCCAAACTTTCTGATTCCTTTTGTTCTGATTGACTGAGCGACTGATACCCGAGTATTCGTCATGGCGGTTCAAGCTCGTAGGCGCTGGTGGCACATCCGGTGGTTCGCCGACACTGACACCCCGGAAGAACGCAATCTCATCAACAAGCTGGATCTCCTCATCGTTCCATACGCGGTGTTGAGTTATTGGGTCAAGTACATCGACCAGTCCAATCTCAACAACGCTTATGTCGCCGGTCTGAAGGAAGACCTTGGATTCAAAGGCAATGAACTTGTCCAGCTACAGACGTTTTACATCATCGGCGCAGTCACGGGGCAGGTGCCGATGATGTTCATTCTTACTTACGTTCCCGTTCACTGGCTTATCCCCTTCCTGGACATTGCTTGGGGAATATTCACACTGCTTCAGTTTCGAGTTACCGGATTCGCTGAGCTTGCGGCATACCGGTTCCTTGTTGGGTGGTTCGAGGCTGCCTTCTTCCCGGTTATGCACTATCTCTTTGGTGAGTCGACCGAAGGATAGAGCCTGTATTCTCACCATCTTCTCACACGAATAGGGTCCTGGTATCGGGGCGATGAGATCGCGCGGCGCGGCGGCCTGTTTTATGTCGGACTTTCTTTGGGCACGCTCACTGCCGGTCTCATCCAGGCTGGCGCTTCATCTCGGCTTGAGGGTGTAAATGGCCTTGCAGGATGGAGGTGGATGTACATCATCTGCTCTCTCATCACGGTTCCAATCGGTATCCTGGGTTTCTTCCTCATCCCAGGTACCCCTGAGCAACCCAACCGAATGGTTTTGAGTAAAGAAAGCATCGCGCTGAGCGTCCAAAGACTGAAGCGCGCCGGTCACGCATCACATGGCAAGTTCAGGTTCGGTGCTTTGAAGAAAATTTTCTCATCTCCGCAATTCTGGGGCATAATTCTCGTCGACGTCTTTTTCTGGAACGCCGGTATTCACACATCGTCCGGAAGCTTCCTACTGTGGATCAAGAGTCTTGGACGATACTCTGCAGCAAAGGTCAACGAGCTCGGCACGATTGCGCCTGCTCTGGGTATCTTCTATACGTTATTCGTCTGCTTTGCCTCGGATCTCGTTCTTGGCCCGGCATGGGCCATAACACTTTCACACACATGGAACATACTCGGACTGATTATCCTAGTCATCTGGGACGTTCCCGAGCCTGCTAGATGGTTTGCTTTCTCAACTATTTACTCATCATACGCCATGTCAAGCGTCTTTCACGGATGGGTGAATACCCAATTGCGATCATCTCCGGCGGAGCGCTCCTTCATTCTGGTTCTTATCAATGCCATATCCCAGTCTTCTACGGCATGGACTCCCCTCTTAGTGTTCCCCACTGTGGAAGCACCTCGATATCCAAAGGGTTTTGCGTTCACTCTTGGTTCTGCGATTCTCCTAATAATATCAACTCACATTCTTCGTGTTTACGTCAAACGAAGAGAGTAAGTGACTTTTGCATCATAACCCAAACAGAGGTCCGAATAAGATCACTGACCGTAATTCAGCCCACAAGTCGGAAACACGACTGGTTTCGCTGAGAGTGATCCAGAAGACCACGCCACTGTTGAGGACGGCAAACGGACACCAATAACGGTGAACGACAGGAATGACCGGGGCGACTAAGGCTCAGTCTTGAACTTTTGACTAGGGTTTGATTGCATGTCAGCGTGGGTTTTAGCAGTATAAAAGGGCACTATTCAAGGCTAAGACGCAGGTCCTTGAAATATATACAAAGCAAAGCGTTGTTTACATCTTGTAACTCTTGTAATAGCCGGTTATTGACTGAGAAACTCTCAATGTTCATCATTGAAGCTGCACAAGAATCAGAGTTACTCCTGACGATCAATGGCTTTCATCGTTCATCATTAAAAACACTCGGCCACTCGCTAACCCCTCATGACAGATAGTTATCACCAGTCAACTTACCACATACCCTGAGACCGACTCAAAATGACATGACTATTCTCATGCTTGATTCCGCCGAATTTGGGCTCTGCCAATTCAAGCTTCGCGTCGGTCAAGTGGCCACGCGGACGCATTTGGGCACAGGGTGCAACTGAGCCAGCCTCAGTATAACGGCTGATAAAGTAGATTATCCACGCCAAGCAGGTTTTCAACCCGCTGTGGAAACGCTCCTCTTTTTGGTCCACCACGCACGCTGTCGGCGAAATAAGCAGGAGGCCGAGAGCCAATGACAAGTGTTCTCGGATCCGAGGAATCTTCGTTGCTCGTCAGATGTCTTGATAGCCGGCCGGCGCTGAGCCCCAAAACGAAACTTTTTGGTCCGGAATGGGGAAACACAGGATGGCACCATGGACGACCTCGATGAGGCCAACTTCTGTCCTGTATCGGAGACGTTAAATTGGGGTCGACGTGCAGATAATATCCCACGATAGTCTCGCACCATGGGCGGCAACGGTGATGACGACATGGCGACTGGCACCAGTCTCGTCGATTGTCTGCGCCAAGTTGGAGAGATTCAGGATGTTTCCTGGATTGATAAAAGAACGTGAGGGCCACACCATTGAGATAGAGTTAGGAGGCAAGACTTGAGGGTAATCTTACTCAGCCATACACAACATGACTTCGGTACCCATCTACAGCTCTACCAATGGCGGGGATGACAGCAGTTCAAGCAGGAAGAAGCAGATTCTGCTGAACGCTTTTGAAATGTCCACCGTCGGACACCTTTCTCCGGGACAATGGAAAGTTTGTAACCCATGCGCATATTGATCCAGATATGGCTTGTTGCTAACCAGGCACATTCCAGAACCCTACCGACAAATCAGCAACCAAGAGAGACCTCGACTACTGGATTAATCTCGCAAAGTTGTTGGAAAGAGGCGGTATCAATGCTCTTTTCCTAGCTGACACGTACGGAGGTTACGATACATACGAAGGTAGTCTTGACAACTGCATTCGTCGCGCGGCACAATGGCCAATGACCGACCCTACGATTGTATGGAAGTTGTTTGTCTCACGAAGAACAATAGCTAACCGAGACACAGCCGATCAGTGCCATGGCTGCAGTGACCAAGAACCTCTCGTTCGCCATCACTGCGTCCACCTCCTTCGAGCCACCATTTTTGCTTGCCAAACGCTTGTCGAGTCTAGATCATTTCACAAGGGGTCGTATTGGTTGGAACATTGTCACTTCCTGGAAGAAGGCTGCTTTCAAGGCCATTGGTCTTGATAGCCCGATCCCTCACGATGAGCGATATGCACAGGCGGACGAGTATTTGAGAGTGCTATACAAGCAAGTCTGCCATTTATAGCCCAAAAATACGTCACCTCATGAGAGGGATTCTAACCGAATTACCTAGGCTTTGGGAAGGTTCATGGGCGGATGATGCAATTATACCTGATCCCGAAAACGACAGCTATGCCGACCCCGATAAGATCCGAACGATTCATCATCACGGGAAGTTCTTCCATCTTGACACACGCCACATCGTCGATCCCTCTCCTCAGAGAACCCCCTTCCTCTTCCAGGCAGGCACGTCAGCAGCTGGCTCCGAATTTGCTGCTACCCATGCTGAGGGCATCTTTGTTTCCTCTCATTCTCCCCAGCTCCTGAGGCCTAAGATCAAACAGATTAGAGAGAAAGCGGCAGGCCTTGGTCGAGACCCTCAATCGTTAAAGTTTTTTGCAACCTTCACTCCTATTATCGGTCGAACAGATGAAGAGGCCCAGGCCAAGCACGAGGAGCTCTAGAAGTACGCCTCTGTGATAGGTGGGCTGGTCCTTGTGAGTGGCTGGACGGGCATTGATCTATCCAAGATCCCTGTGGATCAGGAGGTCACTGCTGCGGATTCGCTGGAGGCGCATAAGGTTCGCAGCATTCTCGATTCTTTCACTACCACGAGCGAGCACGTACCTAAATGGACACCACGTGTCATCGCCGAGCGGGCGGCAATCGGAGGCCTCGGTCCCGTATCTGTTGGAAGTCCGGAGAAGGTGGCAGACGAGCTGGAGTACTGGGTACCGGAGGGTGATCTCGATGGTTTCAACCTAGGATATGTGACGACCCCTGGTACCTTTGAAGATGTTGTTGATCTTCTCATTCCCGAGCTTCGACGTCGTGGGATATACCCAGAGGCGCCGGGAGAGGATGTGCGGCTGACGGCCAGAGAGAAAGTCTATGGTGTGGGACAGAAGGGGTTGAGAGCTGATCACCCAGGTTCTACTTACAAGTACGATGTCTACAGGGAAGAAAGCACAGAACCAGAGGAGCACGCTCCAAGCTACTGAAGCGTAGCATTAGGTTTCGCTTCCCTTCGTCATGAAGGGTATCTCTCGAGTGCATGAAGGAAGCTCATACTGTTGCAGGTATTTCTTCTAATAAACTAGCATAAATCAGCTCCCACATGGACCTATATTTGCGATGCAGTGAGATATAATTGGCCAGGACGACTTCAGAGACGTTCGTGAGATTTCCAGTCCTGTCTTCGTACCACAGAGAAATGACCAAAAGAGGTACGGTTCAGAAGGACATAAGGGTCGCGTAGTGTCAGATGAATGCAACTGTGTCAAATCCGATCCTCGTCTTACTAAAGTTCTGTTGTGCACCACTACAACGATGTCCACTTGTTCAGTAATGCAGGTTGAAAATCTCAGCATCCCCGGCTGTGTGTTCTAGTGGATTATGATTTCTCGTTCACAAGTATGTGCACTTGATCCCGAGAAGGTCGCAGGTTCGAGCCCTGCCACGGTCATAGCAATTCCTTTTTGCAATTGTACTAAGTTCCCAGACCTTTATAAGAGCATTGCATCAAAATATTGTTATTGTGCATGTTTAGTGCTCGATTTGATGTACAAACTCATCTAGACTTCATGAGTCTTGTGTAGGGGGGCGCTTCCGATGAGAACTTTTACCGCCATTCGCTGTACAACCCAAAGTCGCATAGTACCTTCAATGAACAATCTGACACTTTTTATCCTAACCAGCTCTCGGCAACTTACAATGTGCTTTATAAGCCTAACTTTTGTCGCTGCTCCCTCATTCTCAGGGTGCAGTCTGTGTTCAACGGTATATCCACGCTGTCGACTGTTTCCATCATTGCAGCCACAATCCGTTCTGCAGGGTTGCAATCCAAATGCTTTTCGTAGCAGGTCATATATGAAAGCACTCGTTTAAGGGATTTTAGCAGATCCATGATGCTCTCGTCTGATCTGATCTCAACCTCCGTTGCTCTGGTCCCTCGGACGTATATCAATCCCGCAAACACACTCCCGAGGACGATATAATCGCATTTCTTGTCTCTGGTAACCGGTATGTCGGAAATACCGACACACAGCCATTTCCCCTCTATTAGCCTGTCGACTAGATTATTCAGGTGTGATGGCAGGTCCAAAGCCAGCTGGCTTCGTTTTGTACGGATGATTTCTGAAAAAAGGCGTTAAATCCAATCCAATCGCAAAATGCATATATCTCCACTTACCAGATATCAAAGGCGAGCCAAGAAAGTCGTGAGTGTAGTCATCCAAGCGAACACCGTCAGCTGTCATCATGCGGCCTTCCTCGTCGGCGACACAAGTCAGTGTGATCTTGACAATCGTTCTTTGAAAGAGCCGCTCATCACCCAGTGTCCAAGCTATGCACGCGAGCATCCCAAGGTCTCGTCCGTTCCGACTGGTTTCCGCACTTTTCAACTCTCCATACCACTGTGCGATCCACGGTTGGAGAACCTCCTCCATTTCGTATAAGCTTGCGAGACACAACGTGTTGTAGATCTCGGTGACCGTGGCATTCCTTGGTACTTGATGGAACTTGGAATGGATGATGTTGAGAAGGATGACGAGTCCAGATGACTTGTCATACTGACAAGCGTAGAGCGATGGGGTGCACGCCCACCATTTTCCATCGTGCGTTCTGATCTCGGAAGACATCTCGTAGAGTGACCTTTTCCAAAAAGAGGATGCGCGCCGTAATGTGTTGGAGCAAACGCGGAACGATAAAGCGTCGCCAGACGAAGGGTCGGCTCCGGTGCGCAGTAGTAAGTCCCCATTGGGGTCTATCTTGATCTCATCCTCGTCTGGCAGAGTATCATCCGACGGTGTTTGAACCCATTCAGTCTCCGTGTCGCTGTCGTACTCAGCAACCATATCAGCCGCTGGACGAAGGGCTAGGTTCTTGAGCGCCATGACTTTAATGCTTCAACAATTCAATTTTGGGCGGTAAACGAGGAACATGGCAAGAGAATAAAGAATTCCTGTGATGATGGCGGGCTATTCAGTGATATCGAGACCAGCACCGCCCGCCAAGCGCGTCAGCACGGAGGTCACGGGGCGTCTTAGGATGTCTTGTCGTGTTACATGGTTGAATTTACCGGATCATAAACTCTATGTTGCGTGAACACTGTGTAGATGAGGGGACAAGAAGCGCACGGAAGTGCCCGTTTTACGTAATGATACAGGCTCAACCATGGACAGTTTGGCCTGATAGGTTGACGGTCCTTGGCATCTCGTACATGGAATCGACCACGAGCAAGGTTGACTGCATCATTTCCATAAAAACCCCAGGAAAACTGTAACTATTGAACGGGGAAGGACCCGGGCTCCCGAGGTCAGGCGGGATGGACCGTAGGGCTTAGCCTTGTTCAGGTAAGAGGCCAAAGCTTCGCCGCATACGTAGTTGGCCGTGGACTGTGCATCGTGAGCTGAGACTCATTGTGCGGGGAAACGTTAGGTCCGGGCACAAGAGGAGGTTTTATGAACTGTTAGACTTTCACAGCACCGGCTACATGTTGAGAACTGCTTAGCTGATATTTGTTGGGTTCACTGATGCTGTTAACTACCTTTTGGACAAAGCAGCATTCAACGACGTTGTTCAAATCTTGAACGGGGAGTGTTGCGTTATGATGAGACACAACTAGCCCCGGTAAAATGAACAATATGTCCAAGTTTCTGATCAAGCCTCAGTTGAATATCGAGTTGCCACAACTGATTGTTCAAACGCGAGGCAAAGATCTGTCTATGGTTTGTCAAATCGCCTACCAAGAAAGAAAAAGAAGGTAGCAAGGCGTCTTGGTCATTGAACCCTTCCACACATAATGGCCGCAAATCTGATATATTTGGAGAGGAGACACGATGATAAGACTTGTTCTCACGAATAAGCTGTTTTCGTAGTCTCTCAGTTTGATCCTCATCTGATGATCTCGAGTTTGCGCCCCCGCATCATTCCTAACACAGCAAAAGGCACTCAAGACTCCTATGCCGATATCTTCGTGTCTATCACTGTGTTATTTTATCACAGTCGGCGAGATCTGTAGCCCCCCACCCTCCCCCTCCCCCTCCCCCGCAGCACACTTGAAACCTGGAGCAATTGGTTGCGGACCAGTCAGCTTGCCGCCAGTGCACGTAGCAAAATGAGTCTCATCCGGCAAACAGGTGAGGTAGTCCTCGCCACAAGTACCAGGGGCTGGCTTGGGTACACTAGTCAATTATGTCGTAGTAGATGCTGTTTTAGCGACAGTCGTGTTTGTGAGAATTGAGGTAGCAATGATAGTAGCAGTTACAGTGATTGTGACCTCATTTGTTACAGTCGTAGTTATCGGCGCAGGGCCAAAGTTGGTTGAGACTGCGGTGTTGGTGGGCAATGTAGGTTGCATGGGATGCCTCTCAAATGCAGTAGTTGTCCCAGCGACAACAGACGAGGCAATGGAAACAATAGAGCCCTTTGTTGTCGAGCTTGAGGCACCCGTTCCAACCGTGCTAGAAGTAGCACTACCCCCAAAAGGTGGTTCTGCTGGTGATCCTGCTCGAGTGTTTCCATCACAAGGGTGCTTAAAAAGGTTTTTCTTTCCCTCAGGGTGATCAACATAAATACCAGAATTGGGGAGTACAATGGGAATCTGCGCGTTTAAGGCCTCTCCGGTGGTATAGCCACCGGAGATATCACCCAGGTTTGCAATGAAAAGCTCGGGGAATTGTTCGCGCCTGGCCAACGACTTGCGGCGGTCAGCAAAATTCTCACGCTTTTTCTTCATGCCGGTGATAGTAGCAGGAGCACAATTCATGTACTACTCGGGCTGGCCACCAACCCTAGCGAGCCAGATCCAAGCAAAAACATACTCGCCCGGTGTGATACTGTTAGGGATTGTGAAAGGGTACTTATCTTTGTTCGGGCCCTTGAGGTTGTCCTTCTGGTTGCGAGCCGGACATCCGCCTTCAATAGAGTGGATGGCCATCCATTTTGAGTATCTCGTTGGCTTTGCATCGGCGCTAAGAGCAAACTGGCAGCTACCGCCCCCGTGTGCAGCCTGCCCCTTAAAAGTCGCTTCGAAAGTCTCCCCGATAGCCATGGACGTGGGAGATCCGTCAACCTCGTAGGTAGGCCCGGCATGTAGCATTTTACAAGGAAAGTCGTCGCCTGTGCTAGAAATTGGGTTAGTAGGACCGTCAGCGGCAAATTTGAAGGGCTTTGGGTTCTCAAGGACGACGTGTGCTAAGATTTTCGATGCTAGTATCGAGACGAGGATCGAGACTTCATACATTCTAGAAGGCGTGTTGGTTATTGCAGATCATAGGAATCGGCACGAGGGAGGATTGTTTCGTGACAAAAGTCGCCAGCCACAAGACACAATGAGTCATAGAGTGCTATCGGGGAAGTATTTCTTCAGAGTCTGAGTCTTCTGGTAGTGCCAATGAGCTACGGGATATGAGAAATATTGCTAGCTATTTATGGCTACTCACGATCGTTCTTGATGTGCAGTTATGCTTGTAATAAGTCAAAGCACCCACTTATGGCCCCCCTACCCATATAGCCCACCCTAAAAATGCCGCCTAGCTACTGACTTTCTAGATAACCTCTAACTTTAAACTATTACAACATTTTCTATTCTTTATTAAATTACTTTATTTTTTTAGGATATACTCTTTAATATACTATAACCTAATATACTAAAGATAAGATCTAAGAGGCACTTGCTAATATTAAAAATAGTATATCTTCTTAGGTTACCTCTAGGTAATAGGGTATACTATAATTAACACTTTAGTATTATATAAATAGTTATTAATAAAGGTTAATTACCTTTAAGGATCTCTAGTGACTATTAACTACCTAAGAGGCTAGGCTAGCTACTTAGGTAACTAGCTAGGCTAACCTTAGGCTACTACTAACTTATTAATAACTAAAGGACTTTACTTATTATATCCTTTATACTATAGAGGATACTTAACCTCTAGGTAAAAGGTAGGTAGATAGCTTTATTTAAAGGAACCTATTTATTAAGGTCTAGAGAAGTTAATCTATTAATTTAAGGTGTATTAATAAAGTATTTACTAAGGTTATTAAAGACTAGTTTAAATATCTTACTATACTTTATATTTAGGCTATTAAACTAGCTAATAAATATAATATAGATAAGACTAGTATCCTTAAAAGTAAAAGTAATAATAGGTTAATACTAAGTAAAGCTAAAATAAAAGTAGTAAAGAAAAAGTAGCCTAGATTATATACCTAGGTATTTATTATTAAGTATATATTTACTAAAAGTATTCTTATTTATCCTTTAGTTATATATATAAGTAAAATAGTCTAGTAGTAGTAGTTCTCTTTAGATTTTACCTTATATAATAAATAAAAGTTTATAGTAATAAAGAATAAATAGACTACTAATAATACTACTATTAAATAGCTATAAAAGGTCTTTTTTCCTTAGACTAAGCCCTCTTAGCCTAATTAGGCTAGACTACTTATCTTAGATAAGTATAAAAGCTATATAATAATAGATTTTATATAGTTATACTATATTAATAATATTTATCTCTTATTCTTACTACTATATACCTCTTATATTCTTTAGCTACTTAACTAGTTAGTCTTTAGTCTTATAAAAGTAGCCTATTATAAGAAGCTTAAGTATCTTAGTTAGTAAAATAATTTAACTATTATTAGTAAAAAGAACTTTATTAGCTATTATTAAAAGGCTTACTAGGCTAGTCTAACTATAGGTAATATTAAGAGTAGCTAAAAATACACTAGGTTATAGCCTATTAGTATTATAAAGCTACTAATAAATAGGCTACTAGTTTAAAAGGTAATATTATTAACACTAACACTATTAATACTACTTAAAGTAGCTACTAAAGATACCTATAAGGGCTAAGATGCCTAGGATATAAATATATAAGCATCTAGTGTAAAGTAGTCTACACTAAAGAAGGTAAAAGACCTTAAGGACTAACTATAGCTCTTTAGCTAACTAGACTAGCTAGAATAAAATATTACTATATAACGCTAGCTCTTTAGAAAGGTTAAAAAAGGCTTCTAAGAATAGTCCTATATACTAGCTACTGCCTAGTAAAAAATAGGCCTTCTAAATATAACAGGATTTATAGTACTAGCTATAGGTCTTAGTAATAGGTCGCTAAGCCTCTAGCGCCTTACCCTACTATCTAGTTTTCTAGCAGTAGAGCCTCTATTGTCTAAGCTCTGTAAGCTTAAGTCTTATAATACACTAATACCTACTATTAAGCCTTACCTAGTTAAGTACTTATAGCTATTACCTTATAATTCTTAAGCTTCTATTTTTCTTAAGTAACTAGTATAAGTAAAATAGATTAGAATAATAGTAAATATACTAATTACTTACTAACCTATTATTAATATACTACTAGTGTAGGTAAGCTATAGCTATTTATAGCTAAGTACTTAATATACCTAATTAAAGGTAAAGACTAACTACTATTATTAAAAAGGTTTATATAAGGACTTAATAAAGAAGAAGTATAAAGAAGGTTACTATTATAAGGCTTAGATATACTAGACTTACTAATAGTTAGTAATAAAGCCTTTATTAATAAATAGTTATAAAGTAGTTAAAGTATTAGTATAATTATATAAAGTTAAGAGGTTTTAGACCTTATATAGGTAATAATATTATACTTCTAAGAAACTATAAAGACTATAGTTAAAGAACACTAAAAAGAATAAAGGTATTATAAGTGCCTTCTATAAAAGCTTACTAACTAACTAGTGTAGTAATTTAGTAAAAAGGAATATAAGAAACCTTTATTCTATAACTATAAACTCCTAAGGGAAAAATCTATAAGTGCTTAAGTAGTAAATTAAATTAATACTATAAAAGTAGCTAATAGGCTTTATCCTAGGAGCATTATAAAGTAATAGGTTAAATAGGCCTTATTAAAGGTATTTTTATTATTATAAATATAATAGTATAACTATAAGAAGGGGCTTACTAAACCTTTAGTCTAAGATAACTTTTTAGTGTTTATTTACTAAAAGTATATTAACCTAGAGGCCTAGGAGTAAGACTATTAGTAAAAGCTTTAAAAGATATAAATATATAATAGCTAGACCTTATTATAGTACTTTACTAAGTAGTTAATAATACACTATAACCTTAGTATAGAAGATATAAAAGACTTAAAGGCTAAGGCCTACTAATACTTCTTTAGGTTACTTTACTTATTATAAGATAAAATAATCTAGTAAAAAGTACTTATCTTTATATAAAGAATATAGTTTATAAAGCTAACTAATTATAGTTACTAAAGGACTAGAAATTTAGTAAAAGGTTATAAAAAGATAACAAGAAGTGCCCTTAGAACACTAATAAGTATATATAGAGGCCTATGCCTTAATAAAGGGATTAAAAAAAAAGGCCCTAAGGGACTTAAAGCTAGTAGATATAATATACTACTAGCTAAGAGGTAACTAGTGTAGTAGTTAGTTATATAGTAGCTAGTTACTAAAAGGTTAACTAAAGTTTAAGTACTATTTTATTTATAACTAGAAGAAGTATCTTATAACTATATACTTAAAGAGAAAGTTTAATAGTGTAGGTAATAGTAGGCTATTTAATTACTAACTAGACTAAGAAGCTACTATAGTATAGTATATTATAATAGGCCTAAGAATTTAAGAGCTTAATCCTATAGAAAACAAGTAGGTATAAGTAATATACTTAACCTACTTATGCCTTAGATAATAAAGGTACTTATTAAGGTAACTATAACTAGTATAGTAATTATTCTATAAAAGAATATTAAGAAGGTTATAAAAGTATTAATAAATATATACTCTAAGGTAAATCTTATTAGTAGTAGACTAGTAAAGCACCTAGGCCTTAAGCTAGCTAAAGTAAAGATATTAACTCTTAAGGTATTTATAAAAGAACTAATAAGTTAAAAAAAGGCTTATTAGTTAACCTTTTTCTTAATTAATAATTAAGGTTAACTATAGAAGATTTATTAACTAGTTATTAAAGTAAATAGAGAAGTAGACCTACTTAATATCTTTATATCTAGATAGTCTATAGGCTAAGAAAGCATCTAGATTAATATAGCTACTAATAAGTAGTATTATAAAGTAATCTTTATTACTAAGCCTAAGGTAATTACTTATAATATAGTTAAAAATAAAAAGTAAGTATATATACTTTATATTTCCTATAAGGTTAGTAAACTAGTAGAAATAAAACTAGTAAATGTCCTCCTAAAGGAGCTTAAGAGTAAAGTAGTAACCTTTAACAAAGGTTTAGTAATAGGACTATAGGTCTATAATAAGGTAGAATATATAATTAACCTAGAGCTAAGGAAGAAGCTACTATTTAACCTAATTCTATTTATTAAATAAAAAATAGCTAAAGAAGCTTTACTAATATATTACTAAGAACTTAGTAAATAAATATATTACTATATCTACTAGTAAAGCTAAAGCACCTATATTATTTATACTAAAGAAAGATAGTACTATATACCTTTATATAGATTATTAAGGCCTTAATAAGGTTACTATAAAGAACTAGTATCTATTACTATTAATTAGTAAGCTATTAGATAGGCTTTAGGAAGTAAAATAGATCTTAAAGGTAGATATTTATAATATATACTACTATATTAATATTAAAAAAAAAGACTATTAGAAAACAGTATTCTAGACTAAATATAGTTACTTTAAATATATAGTTATACCTTTTAGGTTAATAAATATACTTATAATATTCTAGGTATTTATTTACTAGGCACTTAGTAAGCTACTTAATATATATTATATTATATATATAGATAACCTTATAATTTACTTTACTATAAAAAGTAATACACTAAGGACCTTAAGAAGGTCTTCTAAAAGCTTTAGATATTTAGACTATTTATAAAGCTATCTAAGTGTTTATTTTATTAATAAAGAGTTAAATTCCTAGGGTATATAATTACCTTAGATAAGATTAAGATAAATAAGTCCTAAGTATAAATAATTACTAACTAGAAGGCACTAAAGTCTATAAAGGATATCTAAGTGTTTTTAAGGTTCTATAATTTTTATTATAAGTTTATCCTAGGGTATATAGGTATTACTATACCTATAATATCTTTATTAAAAGGTATATAAGTGCTCTTTATATATTTAAATAGACAAAGGAGGCTAATATAGCCTTTAATTAGCTAAAGGTTACCTTTTTATTAGTAACTATACTAATATATTAGAACTTATAATAGGCTATATATATAGAAATAAATATATTAA